AATCTTGAGGAAAATGACAGTGAATAATCAACACTGTGGTTGTTCAGAGAACCAAAGAGAGTCACTTTCATGTTAAGACAGCAGGATAGAAATGAGATGGTGAAATACGATTGTGAACCAGCCCAGTCGGTGTTCAGATAGGTAAATTGACGGGGAAAGAATTACAGTATTAGTTTCATTTGTATCATGCAAACAGGACTGTTGTACAGGTAATCCTCGACTTATGACCACAATTGAGCCCAAACCTTCTGTTTCTAAGCAAGGCCATTGTTAAGTGAGTTATGCCTTTTTTTGCCACAGTTAAACAAATCACTGCAGTTAAGTGAATCATGCCTGTCAGAAGCCAGCTAGGGAGATTACAAATGGGGATCACATGATCCCACGACAGTGCAGTTGTCATAAATTACATGCCACTTGCCAAGTGCCTGAATTTTGATCACATGACCATGGGGATTTTGCAGTGGTCGCAAGCGTGAAAAAACAGTAAGTCACTATTTTCAGTGCCGTTGTAACTTTGAATGGTTGTAAGTCGAAGTCTCTCCTGTAATGGTTTGTGTGACAGGAGAGATGCAACAAAGAAACTATATTTCTTCAGTCGAACCATCCTGTGATTCACTAGTGTAATCAATTTGTATTTATTTAAGAAATGTAAAAACATGGATGTATTAAAGCTCAGTCCTAAGTCATTTTTTCAGTACCACTGAAATTTCAAAGTAGTCATTAAATGAACGGTCTTACATCGAGAACTGCCTGTAATTGAATATATTCCATCCCGTTACTCCTTGATTAAGAATTTTTTTTTCCTTCTAGTTTCTTAATGCTGGGAGAAGAGCTTTCTGATTGACAGACATCTTTGAGACATTCATGTTTTTAGGATGTCTGGCTTTTATTTTACATCCTATTTACGGTCCCAATGTTTCTGGTGCATTTTTGAACATGTTCAGTCTTACTCTATTATTGTTTCTACCATACTTATAGTAAAAACTTTAATACTCTGAAAAATTACATTTTCTAAGGTGCATGCACTTTTTATGGTTACAGTGCATTTTCAAGATACCATTGTAACTGTAAATCAGTGGTTCTCAACCTGTGGGTCGGGACCCCATTTGGGGTCGAACGACCATTTCATGGGGGTCGCCAAACAATGCAGTCCACCATTTTTTCCCCCTTTTCCTTAGCTGTGCTACTCTCTTTTATTCTATTGGCTTTTGAAAGCCAATACAATAGACTCTCTTGAATAGAGTCTAATTCTATTGGCTTTCCAAAGCCAATAGGAATTGTCCAGGCTGTCTCTGCCCTGCTGAGCCCGCCAAAAGTCCCATTCTGCGAACGGTGCTGCACCAGTTGAGTAGTCCTCGACTTACGACCGGTTGGGTAGTCCTCGACTTACAACCGGTTGGGGTCGCGGCATTAAAAAGGTTGAGAACAAATGCTGTAAATGGATGGTTTCTTAATGCTCTTCTAATGAGATTTCTCCATTCCCACATTTCTGGGAAAATGGGATGCTAACTGGGTGATAAGGTAAGGTGATTGTTCTTATATATCTATGAGTTCATAGTGAATAGAGTTGTATTATATTGCTAGCACATAACTAGATTTGAATTTGAGTACTGAGATTGATTAAAACTGCAGTTTGAGATTTTTTTAAAAAAAAAACCTTGATTTTCCTAATATTGATTATTGATTAACACTAGGTTGCCATTGCTTGCAATGATAATAGTCAATCTAAAGATCTTGAGCTTTTCTAAAGTTAGATAAGTGAAAAGCTTTAAATATTTATTTTTTTATTTTTTATTATTAAATTTGTTTGCCACCCATCGCACCATGTGTGACCTGCTGTAGTTCAATTAACCTGTCAATCTACGTAGAATCAAATTTTCTATTAGAACCCAGTATGTATGTCAGGGCATAGTGATCTATATTGGACTTGATTTTGTAGTGTAAATAAGATTAGTGTGCCTTTTACTTGTAGTCTAGAATGGTAATAATAAACACGTTAATGACACTCTCAGTGAAAGTAAGTCTTTCTAAATTCAGTAGGTTTTACAGTACCCAAAGTTTATAGTTTCTGTAGATCTATAGCCATTCTACTCACTTTTTAAAAATAAATTAAACTTAAAAATGAGTTAAAAGTACTTTTTGTGATAGGAAGGGAAGGATATTAAAGTACTATTGATACAAAATTGAAATGCTGCCTTTTTTAGTTTAAAAATGTTGTAGTGATAGACCTGCATATAATGATAATTATATAAACAAAATACAGATAGATCTGTTTAAAACAGAAGATCAGATAATGTATCATATAGTAAACCTTGATACGACATTTGGGAATTAAAAAAAAAATACAAACATGTGCAAAACTATGCTATTTTGTCTTCTTCTGATCAGGATTTGTGATGAACCTTACACAACCACATTGGTGAGCAGAGATTAGTGCCAGAATACAAAATGACTTCTGACATTCTACGTCTCATTGAAACTTGGTGGAAAACAAGGCAGTGAATTATGAAGGACATTGATTTGAAAGCACTCTAGAATACGTATATAACTATGCTAAAATATCCATTTGGTTGTAGAATTAAGCTTGAGGCAAATGTCTGTGCTTCTTTGAAACTAATAGAAAAGGGCCCTAAAAAGCATTAAAAAGGAGTGCTTTTCACACAAGAGCAGAAAAAGACAAAGAGCAAGGTCTATTAAAACATGTATAAGCTGGTTTTATTAGCCACTCAATTATCTTAGGCTATCACAAACAAAGAATTCCACTGCAACTATTATTGTTTAAAATATATTAAGAGAAATTAGTAAAAACTGATACCCAAAAACATAAGGCATGTTTTTACAAAGCAGCCATGATGGCTTTGTTGAAAACTCCAGGATTTTGTTATTTTATTGCTTTTGTTTGTTTCATCCTGTTTTGTAATGAACTCAAGATACTGAAATAACATAACATAACCAGCAGGGTTTGGGCATCATTTAAAAGCTTAGGACATTCTGGGTAAAAGAAAAAAGCATGTACAGTTATTGCCATTTGTGACTGTGTGACACAAATCTTATTAAACCCATGGATAAATGTTGAGAATAACATTGATATATTGCTTTATATTGAATATTAAATTATTGTGCCCATGCTCAGTGATAATGAATTGTTTCCTGCAATATTTTGAGTTTTGTAATGTTAGCTACCCTTGAAGAGTGTTCGGAGGCTGCAGTTGGTTCAGAATGCAGCCGCGAGAGCGATTGTGGGCGCGCCAAGGTACGCCCATGTGTCATCTATCCTCCGCGAGCTGCACTGGCTTCCTGTGGGTCTCCGGACGCAATTCAAGGTGTTGGTTATCACCTTTAAAGCCCTTCATGGCATAGGGCCAGGTTACTTACAGGACCGCATACTGCCGCACAGTCCCAGAGACCGGTGAGGTCCCACAGATTGGGCCTCCTTCAGGTCCCGTCGGCCAGACAATGCCGGCTGGCGGGCCCTCGGGGAAGGGCCTTTTCTGTGGTGGCTCCGACCTGGTGGAATCAACTTCCCCCCGAGGTTCGAACTACTCCCACCCTGCCGGCCTTTAAGAAAGCCGTTAAAACTCTCCTGTTCCGGCAGGCCTGGGGCTGATGTCCCTGGGGGGGGGGCGGGATATGATTGGACTCGCGGTATGATTGTATTATTTTATTGTTTTATTGTTGATGATTGTTTTAATTTTGTACACCGCCCTGATTCCTTTGGGATTGGGCGGCATATAAATAAAATTAAATAAATAAATAAATAAATAATAAATAGAGTGTATCACTGTTATTTTTTTCAGTTTGTAAGTGATACAAGTATATGCTTGCTAGGATTGTAGTTTCTGAGATACGATTTCTGATAACTAAAGAATGGAAGTCCTGCAAAATATTATTTTGGGGCAGTTCACTGCTAGGATTTTTTGCAGTTTAACAAGCAACTTGATTTTACATAAATTATTTTAAATATGAGATAAAACAGAATGCCACCTGGGCATTCTAAGCTACCTAAACTACTGATACGTTCTTATATCTTCCTTCCCAGTACATTTGGTGAACTCCGTACTGACATCGTTTATAGTCTGTTGTATATGTAGCATTTTGGATACATAGTACATTATGCATTTAACATGTCAGTTTTCCAGAAGGTACACATGATTGTGTACCTATTTTAAATGGTGTATGGTAGCTTCTTGGAATGGATTTTCTTCTCTGTACCTAATGTGGGCTTGTTCTATTTTACTGTTTTTACATGGTGGCATGATCATTATAGTTAGTATCATATCATTTCTTCAAGAGGACATTTAAGATGTTCTTGGAAGCTTGTAAGAATCATTTTGTTGTTATTAGTGAAAAACCCTGCATTGCTGAAAGCTGCCTCGAGCTATTGGATCACAGCAGAGGACAATATGGTTAATATAGTCAGGTGTGCTAATTAAAAAAAAAAAGATCCCCATAATACATAAACCAAATGAAACACAGTCATTAGTGTTGCTAATATTCTTTGTCATCAGCACGGGAGCCCAAGTTTTGCTAGAAATTTCAATTCTAAGTCATTAATATATGAATGCTAATTAAAGAATTGACAAATAAGCTAATATTAACAATCAGGTATTTTCTTTGTGAGAGTTTGGTGTAATGATTAAGGCATCAGGCTGAAAATCAGGAGACTGTGAGTTTAGACCTGCCTAAGGTACAGAGCCAATCTGTTGACCATGGGTCAGTGACTCTCAGCCTTAGGAAGAAGTCAATGGCAGACCACTTCTGGAAAAGCTTCAGGCAGTCTCTGAGTATTGGACACAGTTGGAAGAAGGAAAATTCTTTGGGGGTAAAGCCATGGAGGTTGCTATTTCATTTTTTTCTGAAGATGATAAAAATAGTAGAAAATTTTATATTAAAAACAATATGTAGCATTTTCAGTTGTCAAGTAGCATGGACTAGTATATTGCTTGGTATTTTCTTGAACTCATATCATTAATAAAAACAAAATTTGCTTTCATTTTTAGGCCTTGGATGTTGACCGAACTGTTCTTTATAAGATGAAGAAATCTGTAAAAGCTATAAATGTTTCTGGTTTGGGTATGTACACTTTGTTTATTGATGTTCTGTATTTCTAAAATACACATTGCAATATTCAACGCTTGTCAAATACTCACTGAATGATTCAGATTCAAGTCAATGATAGTTCACAAAAGAATGCTTGCTCCTTCTTTTGTGACGCTTTTACCTTCCTGGTGCTAATGATTTTTTGTTAAATGTTAATTGGTATAAGTTACATTTGATTGGAATTACAGTTTACTAGTATTATTTGGAGGGTCATCAATTCCCTTTCCCTCTGTGAAACATAATTAAGGTATTTCACATTTTTGTGGTTTAGGTGTATCAATAAACTACGGATGATAGAAAATGAAATTTCTTATCTCTTTTAAGCTTCATTGGTGAATGAATAGAGGGGCCCATGTATGAATTTGAAATTAATTAATGTACTCCAGACTATGTATTTTAGCTTATGTTCATAAGAACAGATTCCATAATCAACATGTGATCCCAATCTTTCTTTGCTCTGATCTGAAAATAGCCTTTTTATATGGTTCTCAACAATATACCTGTCAAGTGGTCTGTAACACCGTTATGATGTGCTACTGCAAATAGTAACTGTTACTGAGAAGTAATTTAATTTAAACATTTTTGAAATTTGGCTTCTGTCTTCTGTCAAAAAATGTCCTGTTTCTGCTTACTTGAAGGATCACTCACAAGAAAGATATATTTCAGTTTGGAGAAGATGGATAGATTATATTCAGAATAAATATGGGATTAAAAAGTTTCATTTAGCCTATGAGTAAACTTTAGAGTATTATTAATAGTTTCTTTTTTAATTTTTATTAGTTTTAGTATGGTTTAACAATATTGATTTGTTTATATTATTATGTTTATTTTTAATTTGTTTATATTTATGTTATAAGGGAGTTAAAGTGCGTTATGGATTTGGTTACTTGTATAGTTGGGTAATGTTTTTTAGAGTTTGAGTTGTACTCAGTTCTGGGAAGTGGGGGAGGAGTGGGGGGGGTGGGTCTTGGGATGTATATTGTATAAAACTTTTCAATAAAAAGTTTTTATAGTATATTGTATAAAACTTTTCAATAAAAAAAAATGTCCTGTTTCAAGTATCAGGCTATTCCAACTTCCCTGGAAGTGTTTTTATATGGACTAACCTTACTAGGTATTTTTATAGACAACTGTAACATCAAGTGTAATATCAAAATGATATGTACCTCATAATACTGTATATATACCACTATTATATAATTCATGTCATTCACATCATGATACCTATATAAATATATACGTTACATCGTTTGTTTAGTGGCATTATTATGCATGTGTCAGCATTTGGTCCTGCTCACTCATTATCTGCTCACTCATTCAGTGCTTCTCAAATACTATATAGCAGTAGTTCTCAACCTTTCTAATGCCGCGACCCCATAATACAGTTCCCCATGTTGTGGTGACCCCCAACCACTTATACATCACCGGGTGCCAGGGGCGTGGCCAAAGAAAAGGGGGGAAAAATGGCGGACAGCCTTGTTTGGTGACCCCCGTGAAATGGTCGTTTGACCCCAAATGGGGTCCCGACCCACAGGTTGAGAACCACTGCTATATAGCAACCCCACTATCCCTATCCCAGGGGTAGGCAACCCAAAACACTCAAAAAGCCACTTGAACCCGTTTCCCACCAAAAACAAAACACCGGGAGCAAAACCCTTTTGATATCTAAAATGAAGATAACACGGCATATATCCTTTTTTACCTTTATTATAGGTGTGTGTGTGTGTGTGTGTGTGTGTGTTTGTGTATGTGTGTGTATGTGTACACACACACACACACACACACACACACACACACACATTAAAAATAAAAGTAAAAATATCACTCTTGGGAATATCCATACTATTAAAACAATGATCACCAAGAGAATGCTTTAAGAGAATAAAATTACATACACACACAGGTAAAAAAAGGATATATGCAGTGTTATCTTCATTTTAGATGTCAAAAGGGTCTCTCTCTCTGTGTCTCTCTCCCTCCTCCCTCCTCCCTCTCTATCTGCCCTTGGTCTGCACTCCTCTTCCCCCCCTCTCTCCCCCTCCCTCTCTCTCTCTCTTTCTCCCCCCCTCCCTATCTGCTGCTCACCTGGCAAGCTTCAAGCTGTTGTCCAACAAGCTCAGGGGTAAGCAACCTCGTCTCTTTTATGACTCATGGACTTCAACTCCCAGAATTCCTGAGTCAGCCTAGCTGGGCTAGCTAGCTCTCTCCTGCCCTTCCTGCTTCCTGCTTCCTGCAGAGACGCAGCAAAGGGAGGAGCTCCGCCCAGTAAGCTTTTCAGCTCCTCGGAGAACACTGTGAGTGCACTCTCTTTTACACACACACACACACACACACACACAGAGAGAGAGAGAGAGAGAGAGAGAGAAAGAGAGAGAGAAGCAGGGAAGCGCAATTGCCTCTCTCTGTCTCTGTCTCTCTTTGCAAAGGCAGAGGAGGCTGGGAGCCACAGGGGAAGGCTCAAAGAGCCGCATGCGGCTCCGGAGCCGCAGGTTGCCGACCTGTGCCCTATCCAATGTAATAGTAGGGTCTGGGGACAGTAAAGCATTATAGTTTGTATACTTTAATACACATTGTAGTATATTATATTATTTCTTATATTACTGTATGCTAATATAAGATATTGCCAAGGACCCTAAATGCTTGCACACCATTTTCTTATATCCTGGCAGGTTTTGAGTTTGCTTTCTCTTATTTGTGTTAGATCTCTTTAATAATATTTTCTTTTTCATGTAAGGTGTAATATTGTGACCCTGTTTTATGGAACTGAGTGGAATACTGAAATACCTTGTAGGTCGTCTCATTCATTTTTGTAGCACAGATGTAGTTCCCATTGAAATGAATGGGCAAGAGTTGGTTAGCAGGCCATGGGACTGCCGGAGTCCCCACAAAGGAGACTGTCAGAAATATGGAATATTATAATCATGATATACCAGGCTTCATTTATTAAAGATCAGATAAATTTAGACACAATGGTGGTGTTGATGACGATGATGATTTACCATCAACTGTTACTTGTTCTTTGGAGTGGATCTCCTGTATTTTGAGTTATTCAACTGGAATCTATTTCAGGTTTTTGTATTAGTTATAGCAATTTAACGCTCTTGCTATTTTTTATTCAGATATTTATTTTTTTTATAAAAAAACCTGTGGACTATCATATTGTCTTGAAATTTAAAGCTATAAAGATATTTGGATTAAATGAATGTATTCAAATGATACCTCCACTTTTTACATCAATGGAGGACTTGTCGATGGTTACTGGAATTAGCATTCTGTTTGTTCTCTTTGAAGCTCACGTGGAAAATGAAGAGCAGTATACTCAAGCTTTGGAGAAATTTGGAGGCAACTGCGTCTGTAGGGATGATCCAGATTTAGGAACAGCATTTTTAAAATTTGCAGTATTTACAAAGGAATTGACAGCGCTCTTCAAAAACTTGGTAAGAAACAAATGAAAGTATGTACTGCAGAATTGAAATTGTACAATGTAGTTTTAAGTTTAATCTAAAATATATAATTACTAAATATAAAAACTTGACCGCCTATAAAGCCACAGCTCTCATAGACACTAAGCTGTTCCTTGATGAGGAAAAAGGACTGAATATCTGCTTCTGAAGCTTACTTAACAGAGATTTAAATTGTGACTCTTTAGAGATGCAATCAGTAGGGGGAATCTTTTGTGTATGCACCCTGTGTATATTGTAAATTATTCCTAGGACAACTTTGTTATCTAGCTATCTCAAGGAAAGATTTGAAACATTTTATGACTGGTTCTTTCTAAAACTTTATAACATTATGTAATTGCTTTTTTAAAAAAAGAGGAGGGAAAAAAAAAACCTTTGGCATGTGAGTTGGAAATCCAGTGAAGAGAAGATGATCTCTTTTGATCTGACAGGCTCAGCCAAAGAATGACATAGAACAAACTAAAGTTCAGTTCTTTATTTGCTCACACCATATAGACAGAATCTTGACAGATTAAACCTATACTACTCTAACCCCAATGCAGGGATCTTCAAATTTGGCCCTTTTATGACTTGTGGATTTCAACTCCCAGAATTGGGAGCCTGGCTGAGGAATTCTGGGAGTTGAAGTCCACAAGTCATAAAAGGGCTAAGTTTGAAGACCCTTGCCCTAATGCAGTGATGGCGAACCTTTTAGAGACCGAGTGCCCAAAAACTGGCCACGCCCCTGCTCCACCCCCTGCCCTGCCCCCCACTCCGTCCCACCCTGCCTGCCCGCAGGGCCGCTCACCGCCTCCAGGCCCCGCCGCAGATCGCCCAGGCAGCCCAGCAGCACCATGGTGGCCACGCCCTGCAGCATCAATTGTGTGTGTTGGGGCGTGAAGGCAGCGTCTTGTCTACGCTGCCTGGCTGCATGTTCTTAGCTGCGCTGCTCCGTGTGGGCCACACTCAGAGGCGACTCTCCTCCAGGGAGGCTGCTGGTGAGGGTGTCGCGGGCGGAGACAAGGCTGGGGCAACGGCATGTATACCCACAGAGAGAGCTCTGAGTGCCGCCTCTGGCACCCGTGCTATAGGTTCGCCACCACTGCCCTAATGGATACACACTGGGAGAATAGCTACGCTAAATCTCTGAGTCTGATCCAGCTGTGTTGCCTCTTGTCTCCCCCACACCCACGTCTTGGAATGTGTTTCTTCCTTCCTGGGTTTCTGCAGCTTCATTGTAGTCCATCATACCACCTTGGGATAATGTTGGTTGTGTTTGAACTGAAGGTGGAAGGGGGTGCCTCAAAAAGGCACTGGGTATGCTCTTTAGAAGTTGTTATCTCTTCCTATTATTACAGCAGCACAATAATAATTTTATTTCATATTTTATCAAATAATACTTAATGTCTGGTGAATAGGAACATTTTTCCAGGATTGCTATATAACTTTTCTAAAGTGTATTGCGGCTGAAAAACACCTTTCCCTGTAATACCTGATCGTGGTTAAATTATAGTGAACTGCTTATAGTGGTAGCCTAACATCTCTGCCTCATTGAAGCATTGGGGTAATGCATTAGCAAATATATCCTATCCTGAACACGTACTTAAAACACATAAATATCTAGAATCTAAACAAAGACGTAAGAGGTCTGCTTATAATCAGATGATTGGAGTATCAAGTAAAAAAAATGCATTAATATAAGAACCACTGTGGATTAAACACCACTTGACTTAGATAGTGTCATCCTGAACATTGTTTCTTTCAGTTGAACCATTCCACTTGCTGTATTAAAACTGTATTCTGAAAACACAGGGGAAAGGGCACAATTTATAAATTTGTACTTTGTTCTTTGTGGAAGCTTAGCCTGCCTTTAAATGTTTACCATATATACTCACAGATAAGCCAGGAATTTTAGGTACCAAAATTAAACAGTATATAAACAGTGTATTTCAAGGGTCACGGGGATGCCGCAGTGGTCATAAGTGTGAAAAACGGTCATAAGTCCCTTTTTTCAGTGCTGTAACTTCGAACGGTCACTAAATGAACTGTTGTAAGTCGAGGACTACCTGTTGTTAGCAAAACCAAAGAAGCAAGAATGACACCGATTTTAGAAAAGTCTCTTTAAAACCAAGCCGGGTTTAAATACAGATCCTTGAGAACTGCAAGAGTCAATTAAGGTAGAATTTCTTTGAAATGCCCTTCTGCCCACATCTCTCATGTCTGAACTGCATTGACTCTTCCCAGAAAAATGCTTTGTGCAGTGCAGTGCTTTCCCATAATCCCTGTACAAGGTTTTAGAGGTATTTTCTAAGAGAGGATGGGATGTAGTGATAGGCAAACAGAGATTGGGCTCCTGACACCAATTCCTACTTAACCTGAGAGCCAGGCTACCTAGATGCTCTTAATCTCTGATTGTTATTGCTAAATATCAGATTTGCATGTAATAAATATCTCCTCATCCAAGATTTCTTATGTATTAGAGATAACTCAGGATTCATGGACACCATGAGGATGGTGAAACTGTCCCAGATCATTCAAGGCCTAACTTGCCCAGAGGACCATATATCGGGGGGGGGGGGGTTTGCAACATAATCACAGGGTGGGAGATAATAGTTTTTGTTCTGTGCCACGGTCAAATCTCTCTCATATTGTTATGGATATGACTAGTGCTGCCAAATTTTGCAGGGAGAGTGAAATTATTCAGTTAATCACCCCTCAGAAAGAGGTCTATTTGGAAGCTCTTTGCTTATAGAAAGTATATGAGGAGTTTCCTTAGGCTGCAGTGAACAGTTGTGCTAAGACTTTAGTTGCCTGCTGGAAAATAGAAGCAATAAGAGCCTTGGATAAGATTGTACCCCAGTAAGCCTTTTCTTCCAACAATGTTCCTAGCTTTATTGAGGAGTTTTGGATGATGAAGCAAATCAGGGGAGGCCTAAAGTGTAACTGGTGAAAGAGCAAATTGGACTGAATTTCAGTATGAGCTCACATTTAAGTCTGCATTGAGACAGAGCAGGCATTTGCATATGGAGCTAGATGTCGGCAGAGCAATTATGTCTGGCTAGGTCAGGGGTGTCAAACTCGCAATGTCACGTGACATGTCGCGATGTATCGCAACTTTTTTGCCATTGCCGGCAATGGGGTGGGCACGGTTTGGCTATGATGCATCTGGCCCGTGGGCCGGCAGTTTGACACCCCTGGGCTAGGTTATTAGGATGAGAATGACCTTGGAATTCCCGAGGAAGTAGATAAGGTTCCGTGCAACATAGGCTGTGTTTTAATGAATGAAAGTAATAGTGTCAACACAACTATTACAATGAAGTGGGGAAATCAAGCATTTCTAAATCCAACAAAAATGTGGGAAATGCACTCTTCATTATCCTTTTCCCTTTCTGCACAAATGAGTATCTTGAATCTCTTTCTTGGAATGCCTACTAGGTATTTATTTAGAAATATTTAAACACTTTTAGATGAAAACATTTTTTTTTTCTTACAGATCCAGAACATGAACAATATAATCACGTTTCCACTGGACAGTTTGCTAAAGGGCGATCTGAAAGGCGTAAAAGGGGTATGTTACATGTTTCTATTTTTAAAAATTCTTTAATTATTAGCATAAGTGCATGTTACAATTTGTACTGGAGAAAAAAGGTATTTCTCTGCTGTCATATCCGGCTGCCCTGTCCTTCTAGGTCAGACATGTCAAACACAAGGCCCGGGGGCCGGATGCGGCCCGTGAAGTGGTTTCATGTGTCCTGCAAAGCCATCCTGGAAACAGTGAGGGAATGGCCCCCGCTGACTTGGCCCTGGCCCAGGACAACCAGGAGCCAATGTACAATTTTGTGGTGGCCATCTTGGCACTTGCTCTGGTGGGCCATGCCTTGGCACTTGCCCCGGTCCCACCCCCTTCTGCCAGAGACCTTCAGATCTGTCCCATTCCTACCCAGGCCCCCACAGGCACCCTTGATACGAATGATGTAGAACTGGCCACGCCCACCCAGTAGACCACACCCACTCCATCCACGCCCACCCAGTAGGCTGCACCCACTCTGGTCACTCCCCCCACCCCCCCCCGGGGCAACCGCAATGCTGATGCGTCCCTCATGAAATTGAGTTTGACACCCTTGTTCTAGATGGATAATTTTTCATCTTGGATGCAGTGATTTATTTTGGACTAATGTGCAGTGGTATTTAAAAGTTTATGAACCCTTTCAAATTTTAAAGATTTCTGCATAAATATGACCTAACACATCTGTTCTCCACGCAAGTTTTTAAAAACAAAGAGAACCCAATTAAATAAATGGGTCATAAACATTATACTTGTTCATTTATTCACTGAGGGATGGTGAAAGTGATTTGCTTTCTAGTCATAGAAATGGGAAATTGGAGATAGTTCTTCACTTTAGTTCCAATCCAAAAATATTGAAATAACGATGCCATGAAAGTGCCAGAGTTCAGTTTTTCCTCAATTTGTGTGCAATGTCTTATGATTCCAATTGGATTATGTTTTAAAGAAACATTTAAAAAGGCAAAAAAAAAATGACCTAAGTGTGAACTGCAGAGCTGGCTAGGATACTGGCTGATGCAAAGATTGACCAGCAAACCATGGCTGACTTTGGTTTCCAATATCATATGATGCAGCACCCATAAATAAATACCATATGCCTGACTGGTGCTTATTGTATAAATGCAGTCACATCCGCTGTCAAGTTAGGATTAGTTTAATTTTGCATTAGACAGCAAGAAGGCTGTGACTCAGAGAGATGTCAGACCAATAGGCAGGAGATACAGCGTTCTGTGCTGCTACTTAAATCAGAAATGTAGATAAAGAATTAGAAAAATAATCTTATTAGTTTGCCACATCATTTTATTTGGTTCACACTAAATTTTATGACAAAAAGGTTGGGTTCACACTAAACCAGTGGTTCTCAACCTTCCCAATGCCACGACCCCAACCATGTGGTCATAAGTCGAGGACTACCTGTATTTCCCTGCGGGCGGGGCAGGAGGAGGCGCACACGCTCCTCCTCCTGTGGCTGCACGCGGGCCCTCGCCTAGCAACTACCTCGGCCCGGGAGCGCCGCGCATGCCCCCTGCGCCAGCCGAGGCATAGCTGGCAAGTGGCAGCGATGGCGCAGGCCGACCACTGGCTGGACCACCAGCTGACCCAGCCCAAGGGAGGTAAGGCATCCGCCAGGCCCCACACGCGCCAGCAACCATCCCTGTGCCCGCCGGCCTCCCACCTCCCACCCCTGGCCCTCTTTTACTTACTTTTAGTAGTTGCTCAGCAGGGAGGGAAGCTTTCTAGAAAGTTCGCCTTGCAGCACCGTTTGCAGACTGGGGCTTTTGACGGGCTCAACAGGGCAGAGATTCTATTGGCTTTCAGACACCAATAGAATAGAGTCTCTTGAATAGAGCCTATTCTATTGGTTTCAAAAGCCAATAGAATAAGAGGGAGTAGTACAGCTAAAGAAAAGTGGAAAAAAGGGCGGACAGCCTTGTTTGGCGACCCCCGTGAAATGGTCGTTTGACCCCAAATGGGGTCACGACCCATAGGTTGGGAACCGCTGCACTAAACCATTGTGTAGAAACCACTCCTCTCCAGCCTTACATTTTGATTGCTAAGGTTAAATCTTAGGCTACAGCAAGAAAAAGGAACACCACTTCATTTATTAATTCCAGGTGGTTGCTGTCTGCATGGAGGTACTGCATTTGTTTTGGTGGGTTACAAAATCTTTTAATGTGGAGCAAATAAGCATCTTTCACATAAACAGATCTTTGATTAGTTCTACCAAGACTAAAGGAACTCGCATTAGTATTAAATATGAGAGTAATGAGTCAGACTGTGCAAAATATTTGAAAGAAGTGTTTGAAAGTAGGAGCACGTTCTTACTCCTTGAGGTAATAAAGCTGCTACACTGGAGGTTCACCTAACTGTTTTGAAAACTATTCATGCTGGTCTAGATGCTGGTCAGTGTGTACAGCAAAAGGGCTGTGCATGATAACTGTGGGTACATTCAGGTCAGCCTTCACAGCAACAGCACAAGCCTTTTAAAGGAAGTAGCTGTTGCAATTCACACTTCAAGGAGAGGTGTTTTACTCTCACAAAAAATGCTTTGCAAAGTTTTTCCTTTGAAGGCTTTGCACAGCCCCAGAACTGAGTCTTCTTCTAGTATACAGTACTTGGACTTTCAGATGTATAAAATTTAATTTGAGAAAAACTAAAGCCAATTAAAACTGGGCTATTTATTCCAAAGATTACTTCACCGTATTCCAAAGATTACTTCACCGGGTTTTAATTTAAGTGATTTAGCACAAATGATCACTTGCCTATTTAATGTGGCTTTCTTCTCATTTCTACAGGATTTAAAGAAGCCGTTTGATAAAGCATGGAAAGACTATGAAACCAAAGTGTACGTACTTCCTTTCTGATATATAGCAAATTTGTATACATTGTCTCTTTCTGTGCTTGTTCATCCAAAAATAAGGGTCATTGAGTTGGGTGGATACATTGGATTACCAGATTTGTTGCCTATTTAATCTGGGTTTGGTTAAAATCTAGTAAGCACTTGGATGGAAGATTTTTGGGAAAATTGGAAGAAGACCGTGGCAAACCACTTCTGTACAGTAGCCCAGAAAACTGTTTGTATCTCTATAATCACCAAGATTCATACTCAGTTTAATTTAGTTCCAGTCTAGCTGCCTGAGGTTGATTTGCTATTGTTAGCTGTACAGTAGTCAGGCTTATCTCAAAGGTATGGAGAGTTTAAGTCCATAAAGTAAATACTGCAGTAAAAACGAGTCATGAAAATGTTTTCATTTTCAATGCATATAAAATTTATGTTTACACTAGATCACGGGTGTCCAACCTTTTGGCTTGCCTGGGTCTCACTGAGTGAAGAGGAATTGTTTTGGGCCACATATGTTTTAATAATGTGGCAGCGTAATATAGTTAATGTAAATAAAAATCACATAAGGTTTAAAGTTTGCGATCTTGTGGGGCCACATTACTAGCTGACTGGGGCCACCTGTGGCCATAAGCCACTGGTTGGACCTGCTTGCACTATACTGTAGCCTATTAAATGTGCAATAATATTATGTTTACAAAAAGCAATATGCATACCTTAATTGAAAAATACTTAAAAATTGAAAATATATATTTTGAAGGAGCTGGGACGACTTGATACTAAAATACCATCTGTGTTCATACAAACAAGCTGTTCTTTGATCAGACAGATATTTATCCCATTGAGACTAGTACAGTTTAATACCCAGTTAATTGCTCTGTTGAATATTTTGAAGATCGGTCATACTTACAACAACTAGACCCGTGAGCCAAAAACTTTCCCAGCATCCATTTCTTCACTCCAGAGTCAGAATAATAAGAATATCTATCTGTCTAACATGCATGAATACACTGGATCCCTGTATATCTCTTTATATTAGATAATAAAACTGCTGCTTTTTCTGTATAAGGATGGCACCTGTGTTGGAAGGGGAGCCACACAGAGTTGATTAGAATATGGGTGACTATATAAATGTTTTGAATGAATAAAGTGAAGAAATGAGCAAGCCAAAAAATATATATAAAATAACTTTTCACTCAGTTTTTTGAGCAAGAAGCTGTTCTCTAAAGTAATTAAGCAGCTTATGGTTGACTTATATTACATGAGCACTATTGAACACGTCATAACTTTTTCTGTATTGTTTTATACTATTTCTGATAGACCTGATTGTGATAACCAAGTATCCATTAGTTGTAGTAAAAATTCCACTTGTTGAATGTATATTGGCAGTTTATGATGATATAATATGGCCTTATGCACTTAAACATTAATAGCTAATAATAGCATATAGATAGTCCTTGACTAACCACAGTTCGTTTAGTGACTGTTCAAAGTTATGACACCACTGAAAAAGTGACTTAATGACCATTTTTCACACTTACGACCATCACATGATCAAAATTCAAGACACTTGGCAACTGACTCAAACTTATGACGGTTGCATTATCCCAGGGTCATACGATCACTTTTTGCAGCCTTCTGACAAGCAAAGTCAATGGGGAAGCCAGATTCATTAACAACCGTGTTACTAACTTAATAACTGCAGTGATTCACTTAACGCATGTGGCAAGAAATGTCATAAAATGGGGCAAACCTCACTTAACATGTCTCACTTAGTAACAAACTTTGGCCTCAATTGTCATAAGTCGAGGACTACCTGTGTTTGGAAGAAGTACAGAACAAGATTCTCGTGGTAGAGAAGAGTCAGACACCGAATGCATTATAGCCCATTGAATGAGGCAATTTGAAGGAGACTTTTACTTGTCTTGGCCTAAACCTGATTACTGCAGATGTAATCATGATGTGGGAATGCAGATGTGGAATCATGAAAAGAAGGAATAACTTAGGTCAGTGTTTCTCAACCTTGACAATTTTAAGGCATGTGGACTTCAACTCCCAGAATTCCACAGCCAGCAACGCTGGCTGTGGAATTCTGGGAATTGAAGTCCACATGCCTTAAAATTGTCAAGGTTGAGAAACACTGACTTAAGTGGTGTTTGTGAGTATATTTCCACTTTTAGTCTTCAAATCTAGGAGTGAAGTTACTTAGGTACAAACGGTAAAATCAGTGACAGAGTGTGAGGTTTGCCCACGAGGTACCCAGATACTCTGGCATCTTTAGGTGGGGCTTGGAAATGCTTCATTTTGAAGTTACTGACCATCACTGAGGGGAGCACTGAGCTATGTGGGCCAATGGTCTGGGTTGGTATAAGGCAGATTCCCATATTTTCAAATCTGGTCATTAAGCCTAATGCCCCAATCGGATCAATTTTTAGTATGCAATGCCAGGAAAAGGTTACCGAGTTATTATGATTTTGTTTTTTCAACTTGGTTCCATTCTCAAAGATTGTGCAGATTTCAAGATACAATATGCAGTTTAGGCTACGGTGCCACTGGACTCAAGATCATGCTAGCGATATACAGTATCAAAACACAGTTGTAAAGAATATGTACAGTATTTGCAAAGTTTGTAATTAACAGGATCTGAATTCCAAAATCTTTCAACTGGTATAAGCTAACTTTCATAGTCTTTCATACTTTCATGTGCATTCCTTTTTTCCCAAGTTATTTCCACAGACAAAGAAAGGCATTAGTTCTGTGATACAAATTAGATTGTTTCCCAACATCCCTTTAGTGTTTGTTTTCTTGCCTGTGGGCTTGTATTACAGCTGTATATATTCTGAATTCTTTAATTCAAAATAAGCAGTGAACCAATTAATTGCCTTTACTAATTTAGCTTAGCATCTCTAGGTAACAGCAGATATTAATTTGATGATCATTCTTTCCCCTATGATCAGATAAAACAACTCTGAATCTTCAGTGCTATTGTCTCTTTTGTCATCTTTCAAAGAACATGCTATTTATAAGAATTGGTCAAGAAATAAGTCCCTTGATACTAATATTTGGAAGTATCTATCAAGATTGTGCAACTATCACATCCCAGAGGGATGAATATTGCCCTTTCCATCTAAGTTTCACAGCTAAAACTATGATTAATATGGCATCAATACTGATGTTTCTGAAGCCTCTGATGCTCTCTGGGCGTAGTTGTTTGCTTACAGATGTTTCATTACCCTACTAGGTAACATCATCAGTGATGTTACCTAGTAGGATAATGAAACATATTCCAGCAAAAACCAGAGAGCACCAAGGACTCTATCTTGAACTACAGTACATACATTCTCTTCTATTGGTACTGATTTTAGTGTTGGTTGTAGCCAGTCTAAGTACCTCCAGACTTAAAATTATAGTTGACAGGGCATTACAGAGGAAACAAGAGAAATAATTGTACACCATTACTATATTTTATTAAAAGTTTTATTGCCAGAACTGAGAAATAAAGTTATATTGCCAGAATTGAGAATATACAGTATGATAAAACAACAGAATAGTTTTCTTGGTGCTAAAATACAGAAACATCCAGGCACTGCTGCGATACGATCATGCTGGGAACATAATAATAGGAAGGATGTGTTATTTATCATAACGTTAGTTGTTATGGAAGCTCTTAATAAATTCGAACAAAACAATGCCTGTAATCTACATCCTGCAAATAAAGATGTCTCAGCATTCTCTGAATAATATGTGCTGTATGAATTTATATATATTGGAAGTTGGTTTGTCTGGTAAACAAGATTTAGCAATCCCTCCTGGTGTGCTATGAGAACAACTCCTAAAATCTTCACACGTTATGCTGGCTGAAAATTCTTGGGGGAGGGGGCATGCCAAGTTGGGATATGGCTAGTCCAGGGGTAGACAGCCTTGGCTCTTTTATGACTCGTGGACTTCAACTCCCAGAATTCCTGAGCCAGCCATTGGCTCAGGAATTCTGGGAGTTGAAGTCCACGAGTCATAAAAGAGCCAAGGTTGCCTACCCCTGGGCTAGTCTATAGTGTCTCACTTGCAAGGCAGCCTAATCAATAAGTCACTTCATTCTTCTCAGAAGCACAATTTGTTTCTCCTTTTCTACAGTCTTTCCTCCTCCCTGGAGATCTACTTCCAAATGTTTTCAAAGGATGCTATATTTCTGCACATAAATATTTTTTTTAAAAGTGGTAGACATTCATCAGGTTACAGCTGAGGAAAATGTCAAGGGAAGCAATGAATCGCATCAAATTGTTCTTTCACGAATGAAGGGAAATATATGTGTCTCATTATAACGTTGCAGGATCCAATCAGGGTCAGTCACCGGGATCAAGGTTTAATCTTCCGAGTTTTCAGAGCAGGGGTGTCAAACTCAATTTCATTGAGGGCTGCATCAGCATTGCAGTAGCCCTCGGGGGGGGGTGTGGCCAGGGTAGGTGCGGCCTACTGGGTGGGCGTAGAATGGGCATGGCCTATTGGGTGGGCATGGCTAGCTCATATCGTTTGCATCAAGAGGGCCTGTGGAGGCTTGGGCAGGAGTGGGACAGATCTGAGGGTCTCTGGCAGAAGGGGGTAAGGCCCTGGGCAAGTGCCAAGGCATGGTCCACTGGAGGAGCCTCACCGTTCCTCTCAGGCCATGTGGGGGGGGGGCTGGATGGTGGTGTGGGCTGCCCGGAGCCCTAGGCAGCAGAGGTCAAATGCCCAGCCTGGCCCTCGAGCACCCACGGCACCAAGCCCAGCTCCACTTCCCCAAGGGGGCGCCCAGCTGCACTTACCTCCTCCTCAAGGCTGCTGCTGCTGTGCTTGCTCTTCTTAGCCAGGTTGCTCATGATGGGTAAGAGGGCAAAGTCAGAGAGAGGCCCATCCCCTCTCCATGGGAGGAGACCCGGCTTTGTATCCAAAGCTTCCTTAGCAATAAGATGAGAGACCCCTGGATAGGCAGGAGGAGGGGGCAAAGGGATGGTAAAAGGGCAGCAGGGCAGGACTAAGGCAGGACTTCCCTCAGACCCTCCCTCTCCTTTTCTTCTTTCCTTTCTTCCTTCCTAAGTACAAAGTCGTGGGAAAATATTTGAGATGAGGGAGGGAGAAAAACAGGCAAGAAACAGAGCCAGGGATTCCAGGATGGCTTCCCGGGCCATATGAAACCACTTCGAAGGCCGCATCTGGCCCCCGGGCCTGGTGTTTGACATGTCTGTTTCAGAGAATTCTCTGAGGATGGGCTCCTGCACGAATGTCAGAAGAAAAAACTCTGGTCCCGGTGACTGATCCAGATTGGATTCTGCAAGTTGTTCTTAATATTTAAGAATTGGTTTTTGTATTTCCCTCCCCATCCCTTTGATCATAATGTTTGGATTACAAATTTTAAGCAGTCTATTTTTTAAATTGACCGTATTAGAGCACTTTTGGCTAACAAATCAGATAAATGTGCTATAAATGTATGATACAGTATTTTGTTTTTGAGAGCAGACTCACTCATTTCAAGAACAATAATTTGGAATGCATAATGCACAAACTCCTTTCATTCCCTTAATTTACTTTTGCTTTGTAGGTTTCATGTTCAGATTTTGTTCAGTGTATGACTGCTGCCTGTATTCAACCTAAAATATTGGCAGAGACCTTGGGGTAGTCCGGGCAGCTGGTTTGCTAAGACCTGAAAGCCTTTAGTCCTCTCTTCTTGGCTCAGGAACAGGAAGAGGTAACAGCTGTGGTCTGGGCAGATTGGGATGAAGGCAAAGTGCTCTCCGACAAGGAAAAGCTGTATAAAGCTTATAGCTGGATAGAATGCTGATTATGGAAAGAGGGCAAATGACAGTGAAAAATAATAAAAGTAGGCCAAATTATGGGGACATTTCAGTAACATATGTCGCTTTGCCTGTAGATTATGGAAAGGCTCTCCATAATACAATTTCCTCTTGGACTTTTCAGTTATTAAGGAGCGGTCTAGACATCATATAGAGCATCTGAGACAGTGGTTCTCAAGCTTTCTAATGCCGCGACCCCATAATACAGTTCCCCATGTTGTGGTGACCCCCAACCACTTATACATCACCGGGTGCCAGGGGCGTGGCCAAAGAAAAGGGGAAAAAATGGCGGACAGCCTTGTTTGGCAACCCCCGTGAAATGGTCGTTCGACCCCAAATGGGGTCCCGACCCACAGGTTGAGAACCACTGGTCTAAGAGCTCGTTCAGAAAGATATAGTGCAAGTCCTGGTTGTTCACATTGGTTAATGCAGAAGCACTGAATTGGAACTGCATGAACTAAATCATAGCATTTTGGGTTCATTTCTTAGTTCTCAAACAAATTAGCATTACCTCACTAATCTTGATGATGCTTTGAACTTCCATTTAAAATGGGTGGTGCCGTTCTGAAAGAATTAACAATTAAAGTTTAGGGTAAAGCATAATTTTATTGTTTTTCTTCCATATAGTACAAAAATAGAAAAAGAGAAAAAAGAACATGCTAAGTTGCACGGAATGATTCGTACAGAAATTAGTGGGGCCGAAATAGCAGAAGAGATGGAAAAAGAGCGAAGATTCTTCCAATTGCAGATGTGTGAGGTAAAACATGGGACAATTTTTATTCTTCCCTAACACAAATGAATTGTGTTATAGGCGTTCTGTGGGAAAACTCTGAAGAGAACTTTGATTCTTCTGGTTTTTATTTTGGCATATTTCTTCTGTTGGCACAATTACTTTCCGTTTTATCCATGATAAATCAACAGATTTGCAGATTATAAACCAGCCCCCTTGCTCAAAATATTTATATAACCATTTCATCCTAGGCTTAGAGGATTGTCTCTTTTATGCATTTAAGTTACCATCTGCTACATAGTAGTGTTAGAAAATGAAAATTTCAGTTGATTTATTTAAGCAGGGATGTTTAACAGCTGCGGAGAAAATGCTGCAGATGCCTTGAAGAGATGTAATGGCTCTTCAGCATTTGCATTGTTCTGCAATAATTTGGTGGGCTAATTTTGGTTTTCAACTTGGTTGTTCTTTAGGCTTAAACAATATAATGGTATGTGTCCTGCTGCTTGACATTATCTTTGGGGAAAAGATTGGGAGTCCAGTGGGTAACTTTCTCCTCCTCCTTTTTTTCCTTTCCTGTTGTCTTCCCACATATGTCTACTACTTAAATTAACAATATAGCATCGTGTCTAAATTGGATCAGCTCTGGTTAGCATGGTGATTAAAACTCTGTTTTGAAACTGCCTTTCAAATCTTAACACTAACCAAGTCTACCAATCTGAAATAAACACTAACCAAGTCTACCAATCTGAATGTGACCCCAAAAGAACCAGTAAAAGAGTTCAGAAATGATGTAGGAAAGTGGTGCCTTATAAAAGGACAGAAAAATAGAGGTCATAAGTCGAGGACTGCCTGTAGAGTAGCAAACTGAGGAATTATGGTACAAAGTTAGAACTGTGAGAATGATATAAGTAAAGCAGAAGGTGTCTCTGTAATTGTGTAGGGAAGGTTCAGTTCTCTGTTCCAGGGTGTGCTTTGGGGTTCTTCTGTTATTTTTCCCCCTATTGTGTCTCATTCTTCACAACAATAAAAGAACAAATAACTTCATACTTAAAATACCCATTGGAAGAATCTTCTCAATAAGGACACAAGGGGTTGTGATCATAAAATGTTTATTGCATCTGTGTGTATCTTTTCTTTTGGCTTTTTTTTTTAGTTGGATTCTGAGATAATATTAAGCAAAAAGAAATTGATGGTTCATCTGAGCAGACATGAACAATTCTAGGTGTTTTTTTGGAAAATTGCTTGTTTTAGTTTATGTGTAGCTTATATAAAAGATACATTTGTTTAATATAGTAATACTTTTTAGGTGGGAAGTGCTTTCTAGAGTGGCTTGCATATTGTGATGACCCAGGGCACGGCACAGAGGCAATGCAGTCAGCTGGCAATTCAAACCACCCTTTATTTGCTCCAATTTTCCCCAAATGCTCCCACATTTCTGGCAAGCCCCAGAACAAAGTAAGACATACACACCTTCAGCAGCCTCTGGCTGCAAGTAGTCTTACATACAGTTAGATTAGAAGAGTAATTTACTCAAGGCCACGTAGATAACAAGGAATGAAACATACATCCAAAATCTAAGGAATCTGTGGAAATACAAGCTTGCTTGAGCAGTTTCAGAAGAGAAGCCAAAATACAATCCGAGGTCTTTAAACACCAAATCAAATTTGTCAGCCAGTCCAATGGTCAGAGTTTCAGGGTTTCCAAGCAGAAATCACAACACAGAACAAGAGATCAGAGAGTTGTTTCCAAGATCAGCAACAGCACACAAAACTCCAAGAAATCAGCGTTTGTTCCTGACAAATGCTTCTCCCCACAGCGCCTCCTTAAGTCTCAGTCTCCAGGTGTGGAGAGGGGCGGGGAGCTCTCCTCCAGAGTAGTTGAGCCTGCCTGTGTTGTTCCCTCCTCCTCTCCACTCTCTGTGCTCTAGGATCAGGAGGGGGTGGCCCTTGCTCATTGCCTGAGCTCTGTCTCTCATGTTCATCCTGTCCCAATCCTGAAAGGCCTGCCTCGGCCTGCCTCGGCCTGCTCTTCCCCACATCCCTCTGAAGCCACAGACACCTCTCCCATGACCTCCATAGGCTCCAGTTCAGCTCATTTTCCTCAGCAGATTCAGGCCCCAACAGAGGCATGACACATATAGAAAATATATTTGAAATTTGGACACAGTCATTTTTTATTATTATTATTATTTAAGGAAAGCGACTAACAGCATTACTACAGCGTCTTCTGTTAAATAGTTACAAGCAATATGTTTGTGTATGTGGGGCTGTGGGATGAAAATAATGGATTAAAATAGTTTACTTGAGAATCTTATACAAATTGAGTGCCCGTAGGTTCCTTTATTTAATTAACACATCATTAATAATTAAATCATGATTAAATTATTATTTACCCTTACATTTATTTATTAAGCTTAATAACTAAGGGAACCTTCTCAGGCAGCATATACTCTACAGTGCCTATGCTGTTTGAAATGATTTTAAAAACTTGAATATCACTTGTACGCTACTCTAATTCAAAAAAAAACAGTAAATATTTTTTCCCTCTGCTTTATCAACAGTATCTCCTGAAAGTCAATGAGATCAAGATTAAGAAAGGAGTTGACTTGCTTCAAAATCTAATCAAGTATTTCCACGCGCAGTGCAAGTATGTTTTTCATCATGATAACAATGTGCTGTCTGAAAACAGTGTTCTTATTAGTTTGTATGGCAGATTGCGTCACCGATATTTTAAAAAAAAATCTGTACACCTCAACTATTCATCTTTCACAGGTATTCTACCAAGCACAGATTTAAAGGGTTGATTGTTGTCTTTATTATTTCCAATTAAATGAGGTACAGACTGAGATAATATTATGGCATATACTAATATTTCATCCTTAATTTCCATGTGGCTACTTAGACATAAATCTTGTCATTAAAAAAGAGTGAGGCAGGCTGCTATTAGGAGAGTGCCAAAACTTTCAAAGTTTGAAATAGTTCAAGCAGGAAATATTTCTTAATTCAAAACAGATCCTTTGCATTTAAGATAAGTTGTTCCAACTTTGCCAGAACTGTTCTGAGCACGCTGGAAATGTTCTAAGCTCCAAAGGGTCCACAGTGCATTTTAAGCTCAAAATATTTCATCTTTTATAGAGCATTTCTATACCATAAGTTATAGAATTTGTCAGATTACTAACTGGGAGAGGGATTGGAACCTCATTCACTTGGCTAAAGTAAGCAAGGAGAAACTGCAGAATTCTGATTTTCATCATCCCATCTGGGCATTATAGCAAAAAAACATTTTTCTTGTTAAAAATAGGGCTAAGTCAGTGTTGTTTCAAAGAAGGTAATTAGTTCACTGGGGTCATAGTAATTCAAAACACATAGTTTAATCTACTTGCATGAGTGAGAATTTAGCATTGGCAATTTCTATACAGATTAATACTTTGGAATATGCATTCCATAATATTGTGGAATACTTTTTCAGAGCAGGGGAAATTTGGGATTTTGACAACCTGTACTAGTACTCTTACAAAATATTTGTCAGAGACAGTCAGAAAATGCTCATCTATCAGGAGGGCAAACTTCTTGTCAGAAATTATCTCTGCCAGTCCATGGAAATTGTGGGATCCATAAATATTGCTGTAGGTAATTCTGATGCTAGAGACTGGTGCTAAAGGCTTTTATTCTTTTAAGACAAAGAACTTTTAAGAAGGGCAGAGAAACTGGTCAGAACCAAAGGAGGTGTGTGCGTGTGGACATCATGTTGCTTACTCAGGCTGGGAGATTTTAATAATTTTAATCTCAAAATATCAGATGCTTAAACTATCAGGAGTCTAGTACCCTTTCTCCTTTGAAACTCTCCTCTCAAGAGATTGTTAAGAGTATAGGAAGTTCTCACTTAATGACCACAATTTGAACTGGAGTTTCTGTTGCTAAGCGATGTTATTAACTGAAACATCACATGACTGCTCCTTTTGCGATGTCAGTTTTGGTAGTTCTGTTTGCGATGCTTAGGCCAGAATTGTGCTGTTGTTAGGCAGGAATCTCATGCTTCTCCTGCCCTGCTATGTTTGCCACCACTTCAGCTCTACCCACCCCCCATTTCTCCCATCTGTGCCTGTTTGGCTGCCCTGCACGCCATCTGCCCTGCGCTCTGCCAGCCCTCCTCCTGTCCTGTGCTCCACTGCCCTTCCCACCCTGTGCCCCCACCTGCACTTCTCCTGCCCTGTGCTCTGCTGCCCCTGCTGGAAGCCCAGCCTTGTGCGGCCAGCAGCTGCCTTTCACAGGGCTGGGCCAGGTGCCCCTCATCAGCAGTTGGAAAAAGAACACGAGGGTCGCAGGGATAGAGGAGCCCAGGGCGTGGGGTGGCAGGATAGTGGAATACAGGACAGGGGAGATGGATTCAAAGTACAGGGTGGCGGGGTGCAGGACAGCAGGGGTGGTGGGGTGCAGGGCAATTTTGATTATGCGACTGCATGGGCATTGCAGTGGCTGTCCTTTTGAGGATCGGGTGTAAGTATCGTATGATCAGTGCTGTCATAACTTTGAACAGTTGCTGAATGAATGATCATTAAGTGAGCACTACCTGTAACATCTCATAGAAGATTATAGATGGGAAATGTGGAAGTATGGTTTATCTAGCTATGGTTTATTGAACAAACTCCATTTGTATTGTGTTTATTTTAATGTAGCATGTGAATCCAGCCACTGAGCTTTGTAAATCATAGTCACAGCAGAAATGATACCAATATTGCTCTCCAGAATATTCTGCTGACTGTCAACTTTAGGTAATACCATTAAAATTAAACAAGCCTATGGGGTTGGAATGAACAAGTATCTGTTGTTGTGATTGCAGCTCATAAAAATGTAGCGTGGCATGAAAAAACAAATAGTAATAAAAACAGACGCCGCCTGCATAAACCGATGGGCAACATACAAGGAAATTAACACTAGCTACCCAGTGCTGTAACTTTGATCGTATACATTTCTTTCTGAGCTCGAAAGAGTGTAGCAGAAATAAAGACCCGACTGCTAACAAATAGAATTGCATCTGCAAGAGATAATCCAGTCCTTTTGCATTTGATCCTTTAAGTTTCTCTATCATCAATATTTTTCCTCTGATCTGATAGATAGGGCAGTAGAGGATATGGTGAATGATGTCCTCCTCTTGGCAGGTGACACAGGGACAATAGCGTTGCTCTGTGAAGTGTTTGCAGAACGTCCTTCTCTTTCAAGATATGCTGAAGGCATAATCTGTGGGTGAATGGATGTAAAACCTTTCCTGAGTGACGCACAGATAGTGCTAATCAGATACTGGAAGAGGCTTCTTTGTTTCTTGTATCTTTGGGGTGTTTGAATGAATAACTTTGATGACTACTACAACAGTGACTCTACTGGCATCTCTTTTGAAGAGTCGATCTCCACAGTTTTTTTCTGGTCCAAAATTTTAAGTTCTTCCATGGGAAGCAGGGAGCACAGGTAGTCCTCGACTTAGGACCGCAATTGAGTTCAAAATTTCTGTGGCTAAGCGAGACGTTTGTTAAGTGAATTTTGCCCCGTTTTACAACTTTTCTTGCCACAGCTGTTAAGTGAATCAATGCAGCTGTTAAGTTAGTAACAGGGTTGTTGAGTGAATTTTTCTTCCCTGTTGACTTTGCTTGTCAGACGTTTGCAAAAGGTTGATAACATGACCCTGGAGCCACTGCACCCGTCATAAATATGTTGCCAAACATCCAAATTTTGATCACGTGACCGTGGGGGATGCTGCAATGGTTGCAAGCGCGAAAAACGGTCGTAAGTCACTTTCTTCAGTGCCGTTGTAACTTTGAATGGTCACTAAATGAACTGTTGTTAAGTCGAGGACTGCCTGTATAGTTAGAGAATGTGAGATAAACGTTTGATATCTTTTTTCCCTGTCAATAATGCAAGTAACACAATTTACCTTGAAGGCATTCTAATTTTAGATAGCACCTTAGTAGTGCAAACTGCACGTCAACGGAAACAGAGTATAGCTCTGCCTTCAAACTTAGATATCGGCAGCAAGTGTATCCTGGACATAAATAAGGTTGATTAGATCCCACTCAGACCCCAAAGAAAGCAATGGGGAGAAAAGAAAGCTGCTTTCCAGTGATACAACTCCTAGTCTGTGACTTAGTATGATGCATAAACTGATCCATTGTGGACTATTTCTAATATATGTGTTTATTTAAAACATTTATATATTACTTACCATTAGTACTTTCCTTTTCAGCAAACCAGGATTAAAACTCATTGTTTTGTGTGAACTCAGCCATTGCTTTTTTCCTGGGATTTCTGACTCTTGCGTATCTTATGCCTTTAAAAGATTTCTTACTTCAGAAAGTATGATATGTATATGTGCTGAAGGCTTTTCACAGATTTTCTAATTTCAGTAGTGGACCCCTTGAGCATCATAAAATGCATAAATGTGTATTAAGCAAAGCTAATACTTTGAATTAGCAAATCTTTTATATCTTTTACAAAGCTCTGGAAACCTTACACTAACGTTTATAGTTCCTTTTGAAAAAACTTGTTTTTCTTTCACAGCTTCTTTCAGGATGGCCTGAAAGCGGTTGAAAGCCTCAAACCCTCAATAGAAAAGCTCTCCACAGATCTTCACAGTGTAAGCAGTTGAACATTAATCGTATTTTTGGACTTTTCTCAACTTCTGAATTGGACTTTCTGAATGAACTCAAACAGTTCATAAAACACAGAATTGTAAATTTGAAAACAAACCAACAAAAATGATAGCTGTGTTTATTTAAAGTTTAGAAACAAGAAAGTAAATCATTTACAAGGGGCTATATACTGGTGGTGGTGGGGGTGGGGGGGTGGGGGAAACCAGCTTTTAAATTTTCTGAATTGAAAAGGTTAAAAAAGGAAGAAGCAGAATGTCTAGATTTTCTTAAATTTGCCTCTTCTCTTGGCCTTCATATTAAGTGAAAGATCAACAGATATGTGATGGTAGTCTGCCTGCCTACCTTTCCTGTAAATCATGCAGTTTGGTGTTATTGGATGGCCATGCTAATATAGGAAGGGACAGATGAATTGAACCCAAGTGCTTAAAAAAATCACCTTTCCCAATAGTACCCCACCTGTGAACTGAGATCACATGGGGAGGCCTTGTTGATGGGATTCCCTTGCAGTGTGGTGGCCAGGAATAGGACCTCAGTGGCAGCATAGAAGATGGCAGAGCTCTTTCCTCTAAGCCAGTGTTTTCTCACCCTCAGCAACTTTTAGATGCATGCTGGCTGGGGAATTCTGGGAGTTGAAGTCCACGCATCTTTCAGTTGATAAGATGGGGAAACACTGTACTGAATTATTCTAATCCAGACAACTGAAGATATGCTTATTTATTCAGTCATTTATAAGGTAAAAGCTGCCTCAGGAATATATCCCCTTCTAGATATTTTAAAAAATTAACCTTGTTGTACACAGTTTAGTTTTTTATTGTTTTTTGTTAATTTCAATTGTTTTATTAATTACCAAGGAATGTGTTTAGTGTTCTTCCATACGGATGTAAAGATAAAGAAGACTGTGCCCTGGGAAGACAAAAGTGTTAAGAAAACTCCAAACCTTTAAATGATTTTGCAAATACATTTCTGAGTCATAAATGTCTGGGGATGAGATTAGTAATGGTCTGCCAAAGGTTAGCGGTGTTGATGTGCAGAAGAGTAATCTGCTCTGTGTTAGCTGAACTTCTAGAATTTGTTCAAATCTAATCATGCTGAAAGGACCTAGGTTTTTATACTAGTATCTTTCTAATCCAACTAAAATACTGATTATTGATTAAATACTAATAATGACAACAATAATAGGGATAAAGCCCAGACCACAGCCGTCAGAATTTTGTCCTCTTGTTGTAACCCCTCAGCATATACTTATTAGCCTTGGTTTTTTTTTTTATCAAACATTGATAAGGAAGAACCTAATTTTAATAACTGATTGACTGATTACGTGCCATCAAGTTGTATCAACAGTGGTCACATAAATGCATATTTTAGGACAATATAATAGGTAAAATTGATGTTAATCTGAATTACTGCTGACAGGAAAAGGGAGATGGAATTGCCTCCTCAGACTGAAAAAGTGCCTAGTCCAACATTATTTTTCATGATGTCTAATAAGATTCTTTGAGGCAGCCTACAGTCGACACATGAGAATATTAGAATCCTGGCCCCATTGTGTTTCTTAGCAACAGATGCTGAGAACTATGCTGATTTTGTTGTGAAGCCTTCACAGCAACTACTGATGCGAGTATGTTCCTGGTCTCTGAGTTGTTCTGTTCTCTAAAGGCAAGAAGCGTTTTCCCTACACCCATACAAAATGTGCATTGACAATTTTATTTTGAACTGTTATGTCTCCACTCCAGATAAAGCAAGTGCAGGATGAAGAAAGAAAGCAATTAATTCAACTTAGGGATATTTTAAAATCTGCACTTCAGGTTGATCAGAAGGAGGTGAGCATATAAACCGATACAATGTGCTTTTCAGGTTTAACGGAAGCATTTGCTGACTTATTGATGTATGACATTAATACATTTTGCATTCGATTCAACATGATTTTGCTCAGATTTCTTAGAAAATTTCTGCATGGCTTATTCCTTTTGTGCCCAAAGCCTTTCTGACTTGTTTTTAACTGGGACACTGTCCTACAGAATTGCAAGATTTTAAAACTATTTTTTTTCCTGGGAAACTTCAATATATTGTTCTGTAGGCATTGCTCCCGAAGTTCATGTAAACAAACAAAGACAAAAGGGTTCCACTGAAATTGTCAAATCTCTCCGCCTTTTTCTGCAAAGATGTCATTGGATTCTTAGACATGTTTTTGTATATAATCTTTAGCTCCCAGACTCCTCCCGAATTTATCTTAGAACTATAATTTTTATATATGTGAAAGCAATGGGAAATTATTAAGTATATGGTGAGTAATCATATTAACTGGCTAATTAAATTAGAAATTCTAATACATGTAATTTTTGTCCTGGCCTCACCCACTTAATACTCATCCCAGTCATTTGGTGAAGTTCAGCTCCTGGCATTCTGCTCAGAAGCTAAGTCAGCCTGAAAAAGGCTGTACATTCTACCTTATCTATTAGATACAGGCCCTACATTAGTGTCCATGGGTAGTCCCTCTGCAACCTTCACCACAACCGTCTCCGGACAAGTCCCCCTCTCTCTGTCAAAGTTTTCAACATGTTGCTGTGTTGAAAATAATTACTGTGTCTAGCTTGAGGCAGTATTACTGAATCAGAGGGGGAAAATAGTGGCACTATTAGAATTATAAATGCATAAAAACTTCATAGACACTCTAGCTGATTTTACAGTAATGCCCCTGTAAGTTTGGGTTACTTCTTTGGATTATGGTTTTAGTTGGAAGACTACCCCAAAGGCTTCTAGTCTTTTCAGATTGGGATGAATCACCTGGACTTTATGAATATGAAATAAAATAATTAGTACATTATTATCTGCTCCTTCTGAGTGTTATTCACCACATGCTCGCCCATGTATGCTAAAACTTAATGTAAAGATTTTAGTACAGGTAGTCCTTGACTTACAACCAGTTGGGACCAAATTGTTATTAAGTAAGTTGTGCCCGATTTTATTTTAACCACGCTTCTTAAGCAAATCACTGCAGTTGTTAAGTGGATCTGGCTTCCCCCGTTGACTTTGCTTGCTGAAAGACAGTTCGGAAGGAGGCAGATGGCGATCACATGTCCCCAGGACACTACAACCACCATAAATATACATGCTGGTTGCTAAGTGTCCAGATTTTGATCAGGGGACTCTGGGGATCCTTCAACAATTGTAAGTGTGAGTAAGTCACTTTTTTCAATGCTGTTGTAGCTTTGAACCATTTCTAAACATTTGTAAGTTGAGGACTACCTGTTTGGCAGTATCTGTTTAGGGGTAGTTTGGGATACACAACTTTGAAACCTGAGCAAATAAAGAGAAGTATGCTTTTAAAGCTGTATGTATACAATAGCCTGTTACTGTATTCTGCTATGCTGTCTACTACATGTGTTTTTTGCATTGCAACTGATCTACTTTTCTTCCTAAAATGCATTTGCCCTTTGTGACCGAAGTCTAGGAGAGTAAGTCCTTTAAAAAAATTTTTTTAATAAAAAAATACTCTGCATGATTATAACGTATTGTCAAGAAACTGGGTTTTTTTTTTCTTAAGAGACCAGCATGTCAATAATTTCTTCTGTTTGGCATTTTGTGAGATTATATATTTAATTGTTAAACACAGATCAGTTGGACACAGGTCGAAAGTTTATATGTGCTACTACTGGTGGTCTCAGTTCTTTTTATACTAGCCCTTCTGTAGCCAAAATAACATAAATCATATTTATATTATATTAGCAGAATTTCAGAAATACCACCCAAAGACCAAAAAAAAAAAAAAACCACTGAGGACTGAGCCTGCATAATAGCATGGAATATTGATGGTTGCCAGTAACTGGAAGGCCAGCATGGGAGGCTACAAGGAATCAAATATTGATGGTCATTTTAGATTCTTGGGAGGCCTCTTGGGGTACTGCCCCACAGATTACTGGGTGCAAGACCTTATTTGTTAAGTTTGGCTGTAGGAATCAGTAGGGAATGTTGCAACTGTACCAGCCCCCCTGATGCGTAGGAACCTCCCTGATGGAGCTCTCTGAATCCGTGGCCAGGTTGGTGGTGGAGTTCCCCAGGTTTATGGTCTTGGGGACTTCAATTTACTTTTTCTGGGGTTGGGGGTCTAAGGTAGCCTGGGAATTACCGGTATCTAGACTCCTTTCGGTTGGGGTTCAGATCAGGAAAAGGGATAGAGATGGCATTGGTCGCACTCTTAGATGACCTTTGGTGGGAAGAGGATGGGATCGTATGTGCCTCCTTGCTCTTCTGACATCGTAGCAGATTTCAATACCATTGACCATTGTACATTTTTGGACTGGGTCTGAGAGTTGGGGGTGCGCAGTACAGTGTTGTATTGCTCTCTTCCTTCCTCTGGAGCTGGTTCTAGTTAGTGTTGATAGGATAAGAGAGGTCTAGTCAGAACCCCTTATTTTGCGCTGGGCTGCATAGCTCGGTCCTTTCTCCCTTGCTGTTTATGAGGCCACTGGGTAAAGTCAGTGCTTTTTTTTGTTTTTTTAAAAAAAAAAAGGTGCCGGAACTCACACACGTCATACAACCCGCCTTGCCTATCCTACAAGGTTCCATCCCAAAAAAGTGCCGGAACTCCGTTCTGGGCGTTCTGTGACAAAAAAAAGCCCTGGGTAAGGTTATCCTAATGGTTTGGGATATGGCATCACAAATATGTTGATGATAGTCAACTTTATATCACCACTTCAAGTCGCCTGAATGATGCTACGGATGCCCTGTCCCAGTGTTTGGAGGCTGCGAGGGCCTGGATGGGGTAAAAGAGGCTTTAGCATTGCAAATACGATGGATTTTCAAATCTGTGGGATTGTCTCTCTACCACATTTACAGCCTAGGTGTATTTAAGTTGATACTGTCTGGTATTTGAATAGTTCATGATATATACTTAGTAAACGTAGCAATTCATATTTCTTCAAATATGAATAATGAGATTAGGAAAAAATTATTCTAAAATGATTGGATTAACCTTGTGGCAAGATGGGTGGCAAGCATATTTAATAAGTAAAAATAATTACCCAAGCCACAATAATCTCTAGCCACTATTCCTTTTATAGGATTCTCAACTCCGTCAAAGTACAACGTACAGTTTACACCAACCTCAGGGAAATAAGGAGCATGGCACTGAAAGAGATGGCAGCCTTTATAAGAAAAGTGATGGGTATGTACAATAATGCTGCAGCATTTTGAATTTAAAAATAAAATTTGGGATTTCTTCAGCAGCTCAAATTAATTTACAATAAAAATCTCTATGTCTCTTTTATTTTTTAATAAAACAGAATCAGGAAGGTATGGCAGAAGAGAAAGTGCATTGTTAAAAATGGCTTCCTAACTATTTCCCATGGTACAGTAAGTATTTGTTTATAGTATTATATGTATAAAGATGATGGCTTATGTAAAAAATCCACATTAATCTGCAATTATTTTTATATGCCTGGTATTTCCTAGATTCTTTCCAGAACAGATGATTAAAGAATTCAATACCATTGATACAGAATTTGGTCATGTTTTCCTACGATGCTTGATGAGGAATTCTAAAAATATTGCATGCCTTATGTGGGTACACAAGAATGAAGTCTTAATTCTGTACAGATGAATAAAAATATCTTTGATGCTTTTTGACTTTCATTTTATAAATCATTAATTCATGTATATTGTACATATCCAGCACCAGGGATTAAAGAGAAATCTGCTGAACAATCTTTCAAACATGATCATAAGAAAGATGGACTATTATTATTATGGTATCAGAAAGTCAGGGTGAGGAAATGAACGTGCTTTATTTGATTAAGAACAAGAGCTATTTATTTAGGTCCTGGTTCCTTTATTTCCAGAACGGCAATCAAATGAATAGCATTGTTAGAAAAAAAATATATAATTCCCCAATATCTGATTTCATAGCTGATGGACTTTTTACTAGTATCTTGCAATGGTAATTTACAGAAAGAAGAAATTACAGTTGAGAATTCTTTTCTTTCATACTGGCTGATTCTACCCATGCCCTAAACTAGTCTCTGTGGGTTCTAAATGGTTTAATTTGTATGCAAATGTGCAAAATTGTTATGAGAGGAATGTATGCCATCAGAGTGGGTGTGGCCAAGAATATGGACTTTCCTTGGGTATATTAAGGTGGTTAGGAGAGCAAAAATGGATGCCTTAAACCTAACATGTTTGAAACACCCTTTTTACCTCTTTTAAATAATGTTGGGTAGAGTGCTTGAACTCTTACATAATATGTAAATAGCTATTGTGCCTTGTTCACCAAATTATATTCACAATACACCATGCCTTAATGAGATGTAGCAAAGAAGTAGTTTCAAAAGCTGGTTTGTGCTTTTAAGGAACCAAGTTACAACCAAACACTCTTTCCAAGCACTTGCAGCAATTATTTTACATAGAGTAGTGCCAAAGATACTCTGCTGTGTTATAACTTGTATGTTTTGCTTTAATATCAGTGTAGCTGTAGGTACTCTAATCTTACTCCAACGAGTATATTCTGTGTGGGGAGCTCCTCTGTTTATTATTTCTGCGGATGTTCTGAGATTGAGGCTTAGATCAAATTAGACCTTGGGTTCTTCAAGTTTAGATCATAAGGACCAATCTGGTGCAATATTATTTCTTTTTGACTTTTTATATTTGGTTTTCAGTGATCCTGGTGCCTTCCATAGTTATGTTCTCTTCCGGATAAAGGGCTTCTTTTTTCTTCCTCTGATTTTGTGTTGTTGTTTTGGAGGAGCTGGATTGGAACGAGGGGAAATAGGACAGGGTAGCCTTTCTGCCTTGTTAATCTCATTTCACCCATCCACTCCGTCCCTTTCAATCTGCCCTCAAACACATTTTCTGAATAGGCCTTTCCTCATCTGAAACAGCTCCTATTTTGAATTAATTAACCTGACACATTTGGAATAAAACTCACTTCAACATTCAGGCCAATTGCTTTTGCAGGGGAAAGGATAGATGCTCATTATCCGTGAGTTCCTACATCATGCAAAGCCATGATATGATTTTATTACATTTCAGCTCGGAGTGAGATGGCAGCTTCTATCGTTTTAAGAGCTGCCATACTCGAAAGGATCCAGAATCCAAAGTGAGCTGATATAAAATCTTTATTTTATGACAAATGTGACTTTTCTTAGGCCCCAAAAGATCCTCTATATTTATCTCAGCAAAAGTATTCCAGTAGATACCAAAGGAAAGGAAAGAAGAAGGAGAAAGTAGAGACTGGGTAGAGAAGGGTTAGGGAGAGACAGAGGGAAAGAAAATAGTGGTGAGGATAATGAAAAAGCAGAAAAACTGGCGGGGGGGGGAGAGATGCTGATAGATAGAACAGATTGAAGACAATAAGGAAATTGAGATTAGAGAGGAAAAGTAGAAAGACAGTATTTGGAAGAATGAAACATCAGAAAAGTCAAATGGGAAAGCAGAGAAAAGGATGAATTCAGAGAGGCATCACAGACAGAAAAACTGATGGGGAGGCTTGGAGCAGGTAGAAAAGATTGGTAGGAATGTAGGAAAAAAAGATTATAGGCAGCAGAAAGAACTGTAATCCCAGGGAAAGCACTGTGGATGCAGGGGAAGTGTATGTTGTGAGAGATGAAGGGCAATTTGTGTCATCAGTGATGACCCTTGAGGCTGCATGTAGTCCATGCTTTGCTCACCTGGCTTGGCATACTACAATATACAGCCAGTGAGGTGTAGGTGTGTTTTATGGCAGATCATATTGTGCAAACCCAAGCCATTTTTGGTTTGTTCAATAAATGCCAAGTTAGCTAGTAACAGCTGTGTTTGCTTGTAGAGATAGATATCTAGCTAAATATGAGTGGGAGTATTTTGATATATTTCCTAGTAAGGTATGTTCCCTTTCAGAATGAAAAAGGAATGGATGAAGTTTCTATTAGCTGTGACATGCATTCCTAACTTTTCTAATTTGGAAACAAATAGGTCTGGTTATTCCTTCCATCAGTTAAAAAAAATCCATTTTTTTAAAGATTAAGGTCAAGGACGATTTCTGATTAGAACATCATTTCCAGGAAACATAGGCTTATGCAGTAAGGGACCAAAAGGGGTTATTGTATTCTCAGGAAGAAAAAAGGAACAAAAGCTATGCAAAAAAAAGGTTGTGGGTTTTTTTTTTTTAATGTCCACTTTTCCGTTTGCTGTGCCAACATAACATTGCATTGATTTAGAAATAGGTTTGTAAAGCACTAAGCCCATCGATTGCAGTCTTAATATGACCCCTCAGATCATACCCATAATTTAAAACCCTGGAAACTGACCATTGCTAAAAATTGCTTCATCGGCTTTTAAAATAAATAAATCGTATGTCTTGGTTCAGTTTTGTTTCCTGTTGTCACATTTTAACTTGATTTCTGGTTTCTATTCATTTTTTTAGAGCAGAGATTGGAATTAAATTCATTCCCCTACCTACAGTAGCATGCAAAGAGGTCTTTATATAGCAGGAGGAGAAAATAATACATCCAGATAATTTTTGTCCCATTTTTCCCATCAATAACAACTATATTCTAAATAATAGAATATACTTTATCTTTGATTATGAATGCCACTAATGTCTGCTTGAGGTCTATGGGTGCCATAAAAACAGGATTTTTTTCTTGCTGTGCATATTATGTAACTGCTCTGTCTTGTTTTAATGGTTAAGCTTTAAATGTAATTTTGTTCTGTCAAGTTACCAAAGTAATTTGTCTTGATTTCTGTTGATCTGCTATTATTAATATAAGAACTAAATGTTAATTGTAATGTGTGGTATTTAAACATAAGGGAGTCTTGCATTTCTTTTCAGTCCTAGTAGGTCTCTTATAAAAGTATGTTCTATTTTAATTGGTCACCATTAATTTTATTATCAGATTACCATTAATTTTATTACCAGATACAAACCAGATGTTTCCTCTGTACAGTAAGTTAAATTCCATTAGTCAAGTTACAGCAGGAAAACTGTAATTAGTAATTAATTGCCCATTTTTTGTCATAAAAATATAAATCACATCAGTATGAGTTGCTTAGAAGAATAATTTGCCACATTTGAAAAATACTTGAGTAGAAAGATTATTTTTTTAATCACACCAAAAATGTAAATTTTTAAGTTGATCCAAACTCATCCTAAAAACAGTAATTCAACTTAATAATAGATTATTCAAAAACACTGGCTATCTATATATTTCATTAATTTCTGCAAGCACAACTTTGATGGGCCTAACTGCAGGAGGGTTTTTCCTTTCAGAATCAATGGTAACAGAAAATGTCTTTATTCTTTATATGCTTTTACTAAGGGATTTCCTTTTTGTTTTGTTTTTCTTTAATTAGGCAAACCGACCTCCTGCAAAGCTCAATCTGTTAACTTGCCAAGTGAAAACAAATCCAGAAGAGAAAAAATGTTTTGACCTCATATCACGTAGGTTTGTTGTTCAGTTTTGTAGGTACTCTTATTTAAGTTAGTTCTACTTATTTCCATATTGTCTCAGAAAAGGAATTAATGCGAGATTCCGATGTTCGGTTCAAATATAGTTAGAAGATATTTCCTGCAGTTTGCTGTCTATAGACATTTGTCTTTTCATATATAATTGTATATGTGTGTCAATGAAGCTGTCTGTTGCTTTTATCTGTTATCATTGCTACGCTAACTGTGAGGTGCAACTTTATACCTTTTTTCAAATTGGTTTCAAGTGTGCTTTCCTGATGTTGCTTCAGAATTAAATCTCAATCATCGTGCAGCATAATGCAGTTTTTTAACATTTGAAAGGCAAATGATAAAATTATATATAACTGCCATTGTAGCTTTTTGTTGGGAATAGGATTTCTCCTTTTGTACCAGGAAATGACAGAGCATATTAACAGGTTTCAGAGGGTAAACATTTGCTCTCATCAGTAGCGGCCTATTTCTTGCCGCTTGTTTATCACAAAACAGTTGTAAGCATGGTTACCGTGGAAGAAGACTCATCTGTCCGTGCAGCGCAACTTTTGTAAAGGAAATGGAAAGGTCACTACAGCTTAAGGGGATGTTTTACCTAGCATCAAAGAGCACAGCAGGGAACCAAATGGGCAAACCACAGAAATAGAGAGGCAAAATGTGGTCAAAAGTAAGAAGTCATAAGAAGAAGAGAGCCTATTTTAAATTTCACAGTAAATAGCCAATATATTTTGTTAGTAACTGTATAGTTCCACATACTACAATAACAGTATCCCAGACACTCTATTATGCATTATGAAAGGTATTAATGAGATGAGATCATACAGGGTATTTTTCTGATGGCTCATTGGATTTTACTGATTTGTGGAGATAAGATGCTATAAATAATGACATTTAAACAGCATTTTGTGTCTATATACATTCACTTCCACATACAATTGTATTTATAACAATCCTCAGGTTTTTTTTTAAATTAAAATACGGCTTGGGGTTAGCATTAAGGAATTTTTGGTTCCGTTGAAGCTTTTTAGGAATCACCTTCATTATATTCTAAAGCTGCTTGATAGACCACACACCTTTTTTTGGTTAAAATTTGATTAGTTATTGAAATGTAAAATACATTTTTCAAGGAAAAAAGAAAATAATGTCCACACACTTTAAAAACCCTTCTAAGAAATTCTGAATTACTGAATACTTTGTTGATGTTGGTTTGTTCATGAACCTATGTTGATTATTTTGAGGACTGGGTACATGTTACAGATGTGCTGATTCTTTTCTTTTATTCTTCTCCTTTTATGTGCATGAATCTTTGCTTCACTATTTGCTTATTCATAATTGGAATGGTCTCAATATAACACAGCCATAATTAAGGATAGTTCAAATCTAAGCCCAATTCAAGACCTCATTATAAGTTTGGAAACAATGGTTGTTGCCAGGATACACTGAGATATGAAATTAAATTATTCTTGAAATTTTCTTTGGAGGAAAAGATAAAATTTGCTTGCGAGAGATGAACAGGGAGACAGAAAAATGGGCAATGAAATCCTGGCACGTATCCATAACAGTGCTTATTTGCAGTTTTCATCTGTATTTTGATTGATTTAGTGCTGCTTTATCTGTGCTGATGATGTGCTTTTAGATAGTATATTTTTTGGTCAGAAAAGAAACAGTTGTTTGGTCACTCAAAGTGGGTATTCAGTAAATAGTTGGCGGATATATTTTGGACATCAGAAACATTATGGAATCATTTGTTTACATGCTGTTGAGAAAGACCTATTTTATTCATTTCTGAAGAAAATATTTTTGTCTACTTAAACTATGAGCATATAGATTCTTTCCATGAGTTAGAATTGATTTTTTTTATCTCTAGATTCTTTTTTTTAACAAGTGCTGTTTAATTGTTCCATAGCTCCTCAATAATAAGAACAAGAACAACCAAGTTTAACAAAAGGTTTTGCCTTAGTTTCTTTTTATGTTTTTACTCTGCTGTTTGTACATTTTATTAGATTATAGAATAACATATAAAAATACAAAAGCAAAGAGTAGGACACAGTGGGGAGGGAAAAGAGGAAAGAAAAGTGAGGGGGAGAAGGGAAAAAGAAAAGAAAAGGCATTGACTTTGACTTCCTCTGTTGCAGTAGAATGAAGCATTAACATCGAACCTCAACTTTTAACTTTTCCATAATAATATAAACTGGCCATTTCTATAACAACAAATCAATCTAATCAGTAAAACCCAAAATCAAAGTTTCATTTTTTTTCCACCTCAAGCACAACATCCAGAAGCGGTCTCCATATGGAAACAAAAGTATTTATATTCGTTTCTTTAATCAAAATAGTTAATTTAGCCATCTCTGCCAACTCCATCAGCTTCTGTATTTTTATGTTTTTACTCTGGTTACTGTTTGTTGCTCCCCAAATGAAGCTAGATTTGACATTGTTTATGCATATGTCTAGTTGGTTAGCAGTAGGAAGTTAGTGTCCAGAATTGGATGTAATCAATAGCTTAAAGCTCCAAGGAAGCAGTTCCAGGTTAGCTTCCCAATTGTTTGATCTGTTATCCAGTGGAACATGTTGCCACATGATGTGGTGGTTTTGCCTTTGCTAAAGGTCTTCAAACAAAGGGTAGATGGTCACTGAAAATTGTGTAGTGGATTTTGCATCGCTGGGAGTTGGATTAGATAGCTCCTATAATCCTTCCAATCCTGTGATCTTTTCTTTATTGCTTTATTCTTTCGCTATATTCTGCTTCGTGATATGTAAAGAGAAGGACTTAACTGTCTTTTCTTTCTTTTTAATACTGTTTTTCTGGACTGAAATATTTAGTCAACAGGGTGGGTCCTACAACTGTTTAGGATTATTGCTTGGATGTTTTTGTTTATTGCATTGTTAAACGTAAAGCCCTTGCAGTCAGTCTGCTTCCAATGAATGTGCATAAAAAAGGATTTAGCCATAATTTATTTTCTTACCCATCTGAATCTTATTAACTGAAAATCAAGAGTTTACTCTTGGAATTGGAACTATGTCCCTCCCCCTTTGTTTGATTATGCCTAACATCTTTTTCTACATTCATTATAACTTCATTACAGATGTTCATTATGAGAGTTGTGCAGTGCTTCTGGGCATGTGGGGGTATAAACCTAGCACCTATCTGGAAGCCAGAGGAACTGTATCTTTTCCCAAAACTGCCTGCTCCTCAGAAAAGACATACTGTAATTTGTTTAGGAGTGCTAATAGTACTATGTACTTACCATTACATGTTCTGAAACTTTTTTTTTTTTAAAAAAATACAGATAGTCCTCGAATTATGATGGTAATTGAGCCTGGCAATTACAGTTGTAAATTGTGATGGTCGTAAAATGATTCACGGTATTGCTGGATCTGATTTTACAACCTTTTTCATGGGATTGTTGAGGAATGCCACAGTTGTTAATTGAACCCATTGTTCGCTGTGTGCATTTTTTACCAGAAACCACTGAAAATCGCAGTCACATGACCATGGGGCAGTGCAAATGACGGTAAATGCGGACAAGTTGCCAAGCACCCAAAATGCAATCATATGACTGGAGAGGAGGCAATGTCAGAACTTCAATAAGTACTTTTGGGTGGGTCTGTCATAAGTTAAAACATTCGCTAAGCAACTGGTTATAAGTCATTGACTGCCTGTATCAATTTAAACCCTTTATTCCCTTAATGAGCTAAAATATTTATCTTATTCATTATTCCCTTCCATCCCAACCTGTTTCTGTTGATTCCTGAAATTTCCCTCACTGGCTGCAGACATTCTGATCCTTCGTTACTTGCTGATATTTACATGTCTCTTCTTCTCCTTTTTTCTTCTTTTTTTTCGGAGTGGGGATGGGTGGAAGATTTATATGAACTTATCTTTAAGACAGTTTGTAAATGTGATTAAAAGAAAGATATATGTTGGCCCCGTTAACTCATTCTGTTATTTAGTGCTTGGGAAACTTTCCCTTGCTGTTCAGTCACCTTATTTTGCTTTTGCAAGAAATCTTTTTTTCATCCCTACCCTATATGAGCCAAGGTGGCGCAGCAGTTAGAGTGCAGTACTGCAGGCCACTTTAGCTGACTGTGTTCAGCAGGTCAGCGGTTCAAATCTCACCGGCTCAAGGTTGACTCAGCCTTCCATCCTTCCGAGGTAGGTAAAATGAGGACCCAGATTGTTGGGGGCAATGTAAATATATATATACGGGTATTTGTATGTAGGTCTTTGGTTGTTCGGGTTTTCTCCCGCGTAAAATTGGAAGTGTCTTGGCACTTCCAATTTTACGCGGGAGAAAACCCGAACAACCAAAGACCTACCCACATACATACATACATACATATACACACACACACACACACACACACACACACACATACACATTGCTTACTGGTGTACACCGCTTAGAGAGTGCTTGCGCTTAAAGCGGTATATAAGTCTCATAAATAAATAAATAAGTGGTTATCAAGAGCAGAGTGCATTATAGGAATCTGTTTGTGAGATGACTTCAGGCATGAAAGATGGGAGGACCTCCTGGTCCAGGAAGGGAAATACAGTAGAGGCACCTCTGCAAAGGCCCCTTTGCCCACAGCTACCACCTGCTCTTCAAACAGAGGTACATCTACTGTATTTCCCATCCTGGGCCTGGAGGTCCATTCATCATTCATGCCTTAGTCATCTCACAAACAGATTCCTGTAATGCACTCTGCAACACTACCCTCATTGTGCACACCAGTCTCAAATTGGGAAGCGTGACCCCATCCAAGACCCAAAGGTAGAAGATCCCTAGACCCAGTGCAGTCAAGTATCCACAGCCACTCGGCCTTTTTAGGGTGAGCTGGAGTCAGTTCTTCCCCAGCCAGATCTAGTCTCCAGCTCCTGGCACAGAACCTTGACAGCATTAGATGGGTCTAAGATGTACAGTTGCTCCCTAAAATATTTCAGTTTGTTTTTCAATTGAATTGTACACCTTATGTTGTTAGTTGCGAAGTCGTGTCCAACCCATGGAAACTGTTCCTCCAGGCCTTCCTGTCCTCTACCATCTTTTGGAGTCCATTTAAGTTCACGCCTACTGCTTCAATTACTCCATCCAACCACCTCATTCTCTGTTGTCCCATTCTTCCATTGCCCTCAATCTTTCCCAGCATTAGGCCCTTCTCCAGTGAGTCCTTCCTTCTCATTAGGTGGCCAAAGTACTTGAGTTTCAACTTCAGGATCTGGCCTTCTAAACAGCAGTCAGGGTTGATCTCCTCTAGGACTGACTGATTTGATCGCCTTGCAGTCCAGGGGACTCACAGGAGTCTTCTCCAGCACCATAGTTCAAAGGCCTCAATTCTTTTGCACTCAGCCTTTCTTATGGCCTAACTTTCACAGCCATACATTGCAACTGGGAAAACCATGGCCTGGACTATACGTACTTTTGTTGGCAGGGTGATGTCTCTGCTGTTTAGTATGCTGTCTAGATTTGCCATAGCTTTCCTCCCCAGGAGCAAGCGTCTTTTAATTTCTTGGCTGCAGTCCCCATCTGTGGTGATCTTGGAGCCCAGGAAGATAAAATCTGTCACTATGTACACCTTATATGTTATATTAAAGGTGAAAAAAAATCCTGAAGAGATTTAGCTTGGTCTGATTTTTTTGCATCTCAGAAGCCTGGCATTTTAACAGGGGCATGTAGACTTTCTATATCTACTGTGGAATTAGTATATCATCAGCATACTGATGATACTTAACTTTGAATTAATGACCTCATTCAGAAATTGCATGGAGGTGTTGAGCAAAAGGGGTGAGAATATAAAAACTTGTAGCATCCTGCATGTGAGAGTTCATGGACTCGTTCTCTCCCCCTCTGATAATGTTGACTGGAGTCAGTCACAAAGAAAAGAGAACCACTGCAGCACAGTGTCTCCTCCTCCCAAGTGTCAAAGCTGGTACAAGAATAAGTGGTGTTGAAAACTGCTGAGAAATCAAGGAGCACAAAGATAGACACCTTATCTACATTCTAGCCTTATTTGTAGGGCATTATTATTCACCCAGGATCCTCTTTTGCTAAAGCCCAACCACTTTCTCAACAACCTTCCTAAAATGGGAAGGTTGGAGATTAGACAAAAAATGCCCAAGATGATTGGGTTCAATAGCAGCTTCTTAAGGATCCTCCTTCAAGGCCTAGGAGAGCCAGCTTGGTCTAGTGCAGGGGTAGGCAACCTTGGCTCTTTTATGACTCGTGGACTTCAACTCCCAGAATTCCTGAGCCAGCATGGCTCAGCTTGGAAACCTCTCCCTTTCCCCTCAGCATGGCTGGCTCAGGAATTCTGGGAGTTAAAGTCCACGAGTCATAAAAGAGCCAAGGTTGCCTACCCCTGGTCTAGTGGTTAAGGCACCAGGCTAGAAACCAGGAGTTCTAATCCTACGTTAAGCATTGAAAGCCAGCTGAGTGACTTTGATGTGTTGCTCTCAGCCCAGTTCACCTCAAAGATAGCAGTGGTGGGGAAAATAGGAGAAGTAGTATTATGTCCCCCCCCCTGCATTGTTTATAAAAAATAAAGGATTAAAAGATGCACAGTTTCCTTTTGGAAGGCATTACCCATATGATGTTTGTTTGTGAGGAGGATAGATACTGCAAACAGTGTTGTTTTTATTGTGTTCTCCACTTATTTAACCCAGATGCTTGATACGGAACTGGGAAGTTCATATGTTGGAATTTCTGAAGAGGAATGGGATGTTTGGTTTGCTGGACATTTGATATTACTTTAGTTGCAAGACTGGGGACTACCATCCACTGACAGTCAAGCTTGATAGTAAAAATGGATTTAAAAAAAAATGTTTCAAGTGAGTTAGAAGGAACTTTATGAAAAGAAAGGACAGTATAACTGATCTAAACAAATATCCATTTAGGTAAGAAAACCACAGTAATGCCTGGCAAGACAGTTATTACTAATAACTACAAGTAGTCCTCGACTTACGACCACAATTGAGCCCAAGATTGATGTTGTTAAGTGAGACATTTGTTAAGTGAGTTCTGCCCCATTTTACGACCTTTTTGGCCACTGTTGTTAAGTGAATCACTGTGGCTGATAAGTTAGGAATCCGGTTGTTAAGTGATTCTGGCTTCCCCACTGACTTTGCTTGTCGGAAAGTCACAAAAGGGGATCTCTTGACCCTGGGACACTGCAACGGTCATAAGTATGAACCAGTTCCCAAGCATCTGAATTTTGATCACATGATCATGGGGATGCTGCAAAGGTTGTAACTGAAAAATGGTCATAAGTCGCATTTTTCAGTGTGGTTGTAACTTTGAACTGTTGTAAGTCGAGGACTACTTGTATTGTTATGGGAGTGCTTCTTCTTGGGCCCAAAATACTTATATTCCAGATATATGGGAAACAGGATGGAAAATAATCAACATGTTATTGAGAATGACTTGTAAAATGTGTACTAATCTCTGTTTATTCTAGCTAGTGCTGACTGAGTGAGATTAAAAAAAAAAAATACTTGCTTTTATATATGAAATGGTAGCAGAACAAATAGCCTCCAGATTGCTTAATCCTATACTTGAAGGTTCTTATTAATTTTAATCCTGTTTAACATATCACAGGGCAGTGATTTAAATACAATTATGAGATCAGTTTTTAATAAGTGAGTCAATTAAGTGTTCATTAAAATATGTAATTTGAATAAATAACATACATATTTATTTGTAAAAATAAATACATAGAACAATGATAAATTTTATTATTTTATAGATGACAGAACGTATCATTTCCAAGCAGAGGATGAACAGGACTGTCAAATGTAAGTTGCATTAATATTATAGGTAGTCCTCATTTTGCGACCTGTATCTTGTTCATTAAGTGAACCTGTCACTAACTGAAACTGCAGCTGTGCTTATGATCTCATTTCAGAGATATTTCCAGGTTTTATAATGTATTTCCTATTTCTCTGTTTCTTTTCATGTGATTTCTAATCCGTCCCTACAAAAGTGGCTTGAAAGCAATTTATCTATTCTCTGTTATTTTATTTTGTAGCCTAGCCTCAACCTTTGAAAACTTCTGTCTTTATTTAAATTTCATTCTGGGAGGATAGTAGCAAACTGTCAGTTCCATGTCATGCCATAATATATGTTTTTATTTTTCAAGTTGGATATCTGTACTGCAGAATAGTAAAGAAGAAGCTTTAAACAATGCCTTCAAAGGTGATGATAACACAGGAGAAAACAACATTGTCCAAGAACTGACAAAAGAAATAATATCTGATGTGCAAAGAATGTCTGGAAATGACATGTGTTGTGACTGTGGAGCACAAGGTGACTTTAAAATCTCATAAAATTACTGTCTTTTCCCTTCTTCCGTCTAAGCAGGAAGCAGTGATGAAAACAATGCCTGGATCCCCAGCATGCAGCTCAAGGACTTAGTAAACAAACAAATACTGTAGGATGAAATACTTTTCCGAGAACTCACAAGACAAGGGCAAACAAGGATGTTTTAGGGAAACAAAGAGATACTTAGGAAAAATTATATCATCTTTTGGGCAGTTTAATTAAAATTAAGTTTAAGAATCATGTGTGTGGGGGGAACTAATTACGAATAGGCCCTTTATTGTTATTTAACTTCTTTGTGTTTATATATAAATTCAAGTACTTCATGATGAAATAGCCCTTACAGAATTTTCATTTCTATGAATAAAACAGTCTAATTGCTGCCAGTAGAACTGAGTTAGAAGTCTCTTGAACAGATGGTTTCAGTACCCCGTCCAATAGTGGAGTAATTGCTGTTAATACCTTTCTCTCTTCTAGATCCAACATGGCTCTCAACAAATTTGGGCATTTTGACTTGCATTGAATGTTCAGGAATACACCGAGAACTTGGTGTTCACTATTCCAGAATGCAGTCACTTACATTAGATGTGCTGGGTACATCTGAATTGCTGGTAAATTAAAGATATTTCTATTAAAAAAAAAACCCTGTGAAAGTGTCTTCTCTTTTTGTAGGATTCATCCCATAGCAAGCTTCTATCAGAGAAGAAAACACACTAAAGTGGTTTTCCCTACTATAAATCCACTGAATTTCTACTATGTAGCTACAGAAGGCTGGAAGAACTGGGAAGAAGAGAAAATCCATTTACACATATATTGCAAACACCTTCAGCTTTGGGATTTAAGCTATATAATTAAATGTCACCTTAAAACATCTGCATTACATTAAAATAAACATATTTTCTTAAAATGCCACTTTAACAGATAATTGGAGAAAGAGAATGTCTATACCTCACAAAAGTCTGGTACAGGAAAGTGGACTTTCCTCTTTGCAGTAATACAGATTATATTTGTGGGTATCACTCAGTTTTGTGATGATATTATTACGCAAATGATGTAAATTGCAAATGAACTTGGTCCATTGTGTATAAAGGTCATTTTATTGAGATTTAGAAAACTGAAATTCCACTGTATAGCAATGCTATTTTCAAATAAACCTGGAGAGGTAATATTGGGCTTTTGTTTAATTTAGCTTGTTTGATTGAAATGTTAAAAAAATACGGCTTATAAAGTAAAATTTATAACTGGAAAATTTAAATGTTCAGGTTTTTTGATGCCTCAGATTGAAGGTATTGGTTTAAGTAGCCACTGGGTTCATTCACATAATTTGTTGACATTTTTCTTAATAGCTTGCTAAGAATATTGGGAATGCAGGATTTAATGAGATTATGGAATTTTGTCTGCCAGCAGATGAACTAGTCAAACCCAATCCAAGCAGCGATATGTAAGTATGAAAGATGGAAAGTTCAGAGTGATACATGTGTTGGTTGTGGCTTAATGCGTGAATTAAAGTTAATATGAGTTCTGACTTAGCGATTCAAGGGCAATCTCTTAAAAGTGATGTTTCTTTTGGCTCTTCTGGATCTGAAAAGCTAAAAGAGAAAATTGGTCATTTTCAGAGGTTCTGTTCATGTCTTTAAGTCATACAGAGATGAACCAAGAATTGGGACATCTGATCTTACTCCAGCTGCTTTCAAGCCTAACTCCATTTGCAATCTGAACACACAAAACTATTTTAAAAAGAAACGTGAAGTTCTTGAATCCTGTGCAATTTCTATAATTATTTACTACTAATTGTCACGTGATACTTGTAATAACGGCTAGTAATAACTGTTGGTTAATGGTATAAACTGTTGGTTAATGGTATAAACCAAAGCCAATAATTAGCTCTTCCCCAAGGCATCATGCAAGATATTAAAATAGCAATTAAGCTCTAGTATGAAAACTAACTTGGAAATAAGATTCTGTTAATTGCTGAAAAATTCTGATGTGTCAAGGAGAGGGGGATTTTTTTTCCCCTCTAGGAATCTATAAATGGTCACCTGGCAATCTTAAGATCACTTTGGTCCATTTTTTTTCTGACAGAATTTCCTTTTCCACTTTGCAGGTATAGTGTCTTCAAAGTCTGAGCACGCACAGGAGATTGCATTTGTGGGCGGGAGAACAGAAAGTCTATTTTAGAAGCAGAATTTTGTTGGATTTTGCCCATGCCAACTGGGATTGGATGATATGCTGAGAGAATTTCCCTTATTCTTGTAATGACTTCAGCATCCCTTCCACATTCAAAATCAGTTCAGGAGAGCTAAGGAGCTTTCTATAGCACATTTTGGACATGGGAAGCTTTAGGGCAGTGTTGTTCAAACTTTGCAATTTCAAGAGATGTGGATTTCAACTCCCAGAATTCCCTTGCTAGTGTGCAACCATGGCGATTCTGGATTTGTAGCAGATTTTCAGTTAATCTCATATTAACAGTAAACTGTTAAACTTTCAAGACTTAACAGACTTCAACTAAAAAAGAGCATTAGAGCAATGTTTTTTTTTTTCTAAATTCAGTCTAGAAAAATCTCCCTTGAATAATTAGGGAACATTTTTGTTGAATTGATTATCAGTTGTTTTAAATAGCTGGGGAAATGAAAAAACATTTGCAGGCATTTTTAGCCACATATTTGGATCATTGTTTTCCAACGGATAAATCACTGCTCAACAACTACAACACATTCACAGATGTGTCAGAGGAGGAAAAGTCATTACAGTGCTGCAGATAAAAATCCATGATGTTTACATGAGGCATTTTTTATTAGAGTTAATATCATTATATATTTTGCAGAACAAGTATTTCAGCTGTTCATGATGCACCATTTTACAGTGTATGCCATATCTCATTTCAGGAATGCTAGAAAAGATTATATTAATGCCAAATATATTGAAAGAAAATATGCAAGGAAAAAATACACTGACAATGTGACTAAGCTACAAAACCTTTGTGAAGCCGTCAGAGCAAGAGATATTTTTGGACTTGTTCAAGTGTACGCTGACGGGGTGGACCTAACGGAGAAAATTCCATTAGCAAATGGTCATGTATGTACAGAAACCTTCTGTTAATCACGTTTTGAACACCAATGCTCTATTTGTAGAAATTAGAACAGAAGAAGCAAAGAAATAATGGATGAAAACTAAACAAGGAGAAGACCAGCCTAGAATTAAGGAGAAATTTCCTGACAATTAGAACAATTAATCAGTGGAATGACTTGCCTCCAGAGGTTGTGGATGCTCCAACACTGGAGGTTTTTAAGAAGAGACTGGGCAGCCAGTCCAGGGTTTCCTGCTTGAGGGGGGGGGGTTGGACTAGAAGACCTCTAAGGTCCCTTCCAACTCTGTTATTCTGTTAGGTGTTTCTAATTTTGCAAATATATTTCACTCACTACCACTCTTTCTGTGTTAATTTTTAAAAGAATAAAAGAACAGTCCTTCCATTTGTTACTAAGGATTTTAAACAGAAGTGTGAAAATTAGCACTAACACTAGCACATTGCCTTATATACTACTTCACAGTGCTTTACAGCCCTCTCTAAGCAGTTTACAAAGTCAGCATATTGGCCCCAACAATTTGGGTCCTCATAATAGAAATATTTTCTCTGGAGAGGACTGAACACATACTGAAACCTAATCATAAATATTGCTCTCCGCCCCCCCCCCCAAGAGCATGACAAGTATAACTTTTAAGATCCAACTTTATGGAGTGGATGTAGATTCTATGGCACCTTCTCGTCAATGTTGACACTTTTCCGAGTTATTGTTTTGGGCCTCCCTTCCCTTCCCATCTGCAGTAACCGTGTCTCTGATAAGTAAACATAGGGAATCCTCACACAATACTGCCTGTAGGAAAACAGTGTAGGTACTGCTAGGGAGTTAAGGAACTCAGTTTGGATGTGTGTGTAAAATGTATATTGTATTGATTGAATATATGTTAAAGAATACCATTAACCCTACACCAAGTCTCAGATTAACATAGGAGAATAATAGCACAGTGATATTTATTTCTATTGTTTATTCTTGCACTGAAAGGAGATTAATTGGCTAAATACTATTCTGGATTCTGTGTCTTCTATGGCTACAGCTGAGCAACACCATCACAAAACATTCTTCTTTGTCCTTTCCTATAAAGCTAAGTTATTCAGATGGTAATATCCAACTAACACTTGCTATTCTTATGTGTCCATTATACCCATGTTTTTGTTTAAACAATTCAGCTCATCTATATTAATTTGGTAGCTTTTAATATTACAATATAAAACATTGTAAATAATGTTACATATTATATTATATCCTTCTCCAAATGGATAGGTATCGTGTATAGTTCATTGGGTTAGGCATGAATTTTGTTGTTTGCATTTGAAATTAAATTTCAGCTTTCTTGGATGCTGAACCATTCAGCATTTTAAGAACCATTAGTGCAGTTTTGTGAATAAGTCTGTATAGAAAACATTTCCAAACATTGTTTTATGTATCAGGAAAAATGGATACGCAAATGTGTACATCCTGTCTTGGGAGAAATGAGAATGAAAGTGCATACTAATTTTTGCCTGGGCTTTGAAGTAATGTTCTGACCATTTATAGAATGGGATAGAACTATGTTGAAGGGCAGAGTGTATTCTAGATTGAACATGACTAATCTTGGCCACTCTGATGTTTGCCCTGATCTTGAAATGTAGAGATGATCTGGAATATTAATAGTTTAGGATTATGATTCATTAAATTTGTTAATTATCCTCAACCAGAGGCTCCCAACTCTTCCTAGCACCACTACCCTTTCAATCAATTTAAAGATCCTTCCTTGCATATGACTATATAATGCACGGTGATTAATCAGTTTTCTTGTTTTTCAATCCAAACTGTCCACTTACTATATTTTTATCCCTATGAGGTGGGTGGGGCTGAGAGAGAGTAATTGGTCCAAAGTCCCACAGCTTTCATGCCTAAAGGAGGATTAGAACTCACCATCTCCTAGTTTCTAGGCAGACACTGTCACCACGATTACCATACTGGTTCTCATATACAGTGTTGTGGTAATTGGGTGAACTCTCTTTTTTGTTTAGCTTACAAATCAAACACTACTTTCTAGCACAACCATTTAATTTATAAATTGAGCCTTGCTAGTACCTAGATCACATTTAGGTAGCAGAGATGGCATTTTAAAAAAATGTGATTGTGGAAAACCTGACCTTCCATATCTGTTAATAAACTCCTTTAGAGCAGGGATGTCAAACTCGCAATGTCACATGACGTGTTGTGATGTATCGTGACTTTTTCTCCATTGCTGGCAATGCGGTGGGTGTGGTTTCGGCATGATGCATCCGGCCCATCGGCCGGCAGTTTGACACCCCTGCATTAGAGCAGAATAAGAATTTCTGAGATCAAGCGGCTTATCCTCTAAAATAGACCCAGGGTAACCCAAAGGAAACTAAGCAGAGGATGCCTCCTAATTTTGCATTATCTCCTTAATTTTGGCCACTGTACTCAAATTTGGCTTTCAAATAATTATGAAAGCTAAATTTGAGTACAGTGGCCAAAACTGTATGGTTCAACAATAAATCATAGACCCAAAACTTATTTTTAAAAATGTTTTGCTTGGCACTGGTTAGAAGGCTTTTTTTTTTTTTTTTTTTCAGGAACAAGATGAAACTGCCCTTCATCTTGCAGTGCGATCGGTAGATCGGACTTCACTTCACATAGTTGACTTCTTGGTACAGAACAGGTGGGCCATTCATGACTAAACACTTGTTTGATATCGGTTTCATTACTCAAAAATGAAGAAAGGACCCTTTCAGTAAACACTGTTGTTAAGTTTGATGGAAACAACTGTCTAAATAACTCAAACCAAGCAAGCTTTGGAGAACCTTCTATACTATTTGTGCCAAATAAGTTTGTTCTCTCTTCTCTTGTGCAGTGGCAATCTTGACAAGCAGACGTGTAAAGGCAGCACAGCTCTGCATTACTGCTGCTTAACAGATAATGTGGAGTGCCTCAAACTGCTTCTGAGAGGGAAGGCTTCAATTGAAATAGGTAAAGAGAAAAAGGGGTACTCTTTGGTGTTAGGAACATAAAGGTCTGAGGTAAATTTGTTGCTGTTTATGTTCTCTTTCTAATACACTCTCTAAATCCTACACACGGGAACACACATAAATACATATTATTGAGCCATATGTTTAAATTTATAGAAAATTTGAACGCTAAGTCAATGGTTATAAAAATATATTTTATATTTTATGTGGCCTCATACCCAATGTCACAGGAATCAGACAGTAATATATGACTATAAAGTGAGAAGAATGTTCAATTCATTATCATATTTTGTAACGTGGACATTCTGCACTGAACCTGAACTAGTCCCATGGGTAAATTAACTCCCTACCCCTCAGTGTCCCAGCATATGTCTTATAGTTTGGTTCCCTTAATTTTCATCCAATATGACCTCTGATGAAGGGATATACTGTAAGAGGTGCATCCCAAAATATATAGAGCCACCATGTTAAATAAAGCAAATTAAAATATGTAGCAACTAATATGTCTGTCTTTGGCTGGACTGTTCCTAATATTATTTTCATTTTGTAAGCTACTTATATTGTATTTTTAGTAACATAAAGTTGCAAACCAACTTTTCCTTTCATTGATTTGTAGCAAATGAAGCTGGAGAAACACCACTTGATATAGCTAAACGGTTAAAGCATGCACACTGTGAAGAGCTGGTAAGATTTTGATTTATATATAATGTATAGCCTGTTCTTCCTTACATTAGCCGAAGTGGCACAAGATGTGTAAACCATTATATCTTTGGACAGTCCCTTCCATATATACACAACCTTATCTGAAGGTAGTGCATTTGAATCACAGTACATAATTAGTGTCACATAATGGTATTTAAATAATATTAGGGTCCCTCAATTGGATGTTTTTTATTTGGTCTGTAAGTAAGTCTTCACGTTCAAAACTTTTATAAATTTCTTCAAATATCTTCTACATAATTTTGCACTTAAAAAAGAAAGGGATAGAAAATAACTTGGCTCCAAGTCTGTTTAAAGATACAGAATTTAAGTCACTGACATGGACCGGGTTCCCTAAAGTCTAACTTTGGGTCTTTAGCTTGCTCAGGCTCTGGCTGGAAGGCTTAATTCTCACGTCCACGTAGAATATGAATGGCGGTTACTTCATGAAGACCTGGATGAAAGTGACGATGACGTGGATGAAAAACTGCAGGTATGTATTCGAATACTTGTGATTTGATTGAAGCACGCATAAATACCTATAGTTTGCCAGGTAATAGGCCACAGGTAGTCCTCGACTTACACCCATAATTGAGCCCCAAGTATTCATTGTTAAGCAAGAGAGTTGTTAAGTGAGACATTGCCCCATTTTACGACCTTTCTTGCCACACTTGTAAAGCGAATCACTGCAGTTGTTAAGTTAGTAACACGGTTACTAAGTGAATCTGTCTTCCCCGTGGACTTTGCTTGTCAGAAGGTGATCACATAATCCTGGGACACTGCAACCATCATAAAAACATGCCAGTTGCCAGAGCATGAAACTCTGGTTTCTCTTCAGATCGTATAAATCTTTCGCCTTTTACCAAAGATTTCCGTGGAGAGGAACATTTATGAGTTTTCATGGATGTTTGGATGCTACTTATTACCATATCTGGTGGTTATGTAAAAATATAAAAGCTTTTTGGATTAAAATATGGTGGACTATTCAAAGAATTTTCAGAAGAAGGATAAAATTTACCCCACAATTGTTTTTGTTAGGTATTGTTTCTGATTGTGATACTAAAGAGACTACATTGATGTTAAATTTAATTACAGCGGCCAGGTTGTTAGTAGGGCAATGTTGGAAGAAGGAATCTTTGCCTACATTGCAAGAACGGTTTTTAAAAGTTTCTTATTTGGCGGAAATGGCAAAGATTTCGGCTTTCTTGAAAGATCAATCGCAGGAGAAGTATCTCCTGGTATGGAAAAGATGGATAGATTTCATACAATATAAGTTGGATATAAAAAAATATTACTTAGTTTTTGAATAATTTATAATTAAAGTTTAAGATATTTCTTAGATATTTTCTTTTCTTTTTATTTTTTTTTCTTTTTCTGTTTTTTCTTTTCTTTCTTCTTGTATTTTTTATATATTGTTGTTAATTATTTTATAATTTGTTTAATTAACGTATTTAGATTTGTTTATGGTTTATAAGTGTTTCAAGATTTTTTTTAATTTTTTTTTTTTAATTAAGCCTGTATTCAGCTCTGGGAAGATTGGGGGAGGGTAGGGGAGGGGTGGGAGGGTGTGGGGGAGGGGAATATTTTCTTTTTGTAAAACCTAAAAATTTTCAATTTTAAAAAAAACAAAACATGCCAGTTGCCAAGCATATGAATTTTAATCTTGTAATCCCGGGGATGCTATAATGATTGTAAGCGTGAGAAACAGTCATAAATTACTTTTTTTAGTGCCGTTGTAACTTCAGTCACTAAATTAATGACTGTAAGTTGAGGATTACCTGTATTATGAATGAGACAGGCGATAAAGGAATAAATAAGAAGCAAGCAATTTTTCCTGTCCAATACACACGAGTGACTGCTGTCCAAAATTATGATACAGTCACAGACTCACAAATTGCTGCTGTGGTTGGTATGTCATTCACCAAGCTCCCATTTATCAGATTAAGGGCTGTTAATACACAACTTTGAAGGCACGATTGAATGTTACCAGCTTCATTTGCCTTATGCCACAACAGAGTTCTGTGCTTATAGCATAGACACAAAATTGAAATTAGCTACTCTAATATATAAGCTGTTTGATTTATTACCATTAATAAATGTATCACCTTTAGTTTAGTCTTTGTATTATTATTGCATTTGAAAAGATTGTAACTTGAAAAACGGTCATATATCACATTTTTTCAGTGTCATTGTAACTTTGAACGGTCACTAAACGAACTGTTGTAAGTTGGGGACTGCTAGTATTTAAAATTAACGTCTTAGTTACAGTATTGTGAAAGGATGCCCGATCTGCAATACTTCCCGTCTAGTATTATTTAGAACAAAATATTTGACAGTAGGGCTCTCTTTTGGATTCTTCTTTTTTACAGCAAGCCAGCCCCAGTCGAAGAGAGGACAGACCTGTGAGTTTCTATCAGCTAGGATCAAGCCAGCTTCAGCCTAATGTCGCATCTCTGGCAAGAGATGCTGCCAATGTAGCCAAGGACAAACAGAGAGGTTTCATGCCAAGCCTATTGCAAAATGAGACCTATGGAGCTGTCCTCAGTAGCAGCCCACCTCCCGCTCAGCCTGCAGCACCTGTTACCAATGCACCTCCCTTGCCGCCCAGGAATATTGGGAAAGGTACTAACACTCTCGTATTTTACAAGATGAGGAACTTCAGGAAACTGTTTGGTTCTTTTTTCTCTCCTTTGAAGATGTGGGGTTTTGTTAACTTGTCCAAATAAATGTTAAAATATACATTGCTTCCTTTTAACTTGGCATTAAATTGCTCAGAATAATCAGAAAAGATACGAGAGAAAAACAGTATGCTGAAATTAAATGCTATTGTCATGGTTCCGACAGATGAAACTCTTCAAAGAACTTTGAGGCATTGTTTACCTTAAAGAATCTTTATTCAAACAGCATAGCATCGCCAGGTACATAGGCAAAGCCAGAATCTGAATTCCCCTCCCCTGAGCACAAGTATCAAAGCACAATTCCCTCCTCTAATTAACAGTCATAAATCACATTCTCCAATTAGTTTGAAATGCAGGCTTTCCCTCCAGTTCTTTAACAGCCATTTCTTATCATCTCTTATTTCAAAAAACCTTGGTTCTCACCCTAGTTACAATATTGTTATGTCTAACTAAACTCCCATGCACATTCCTCCTCCTCCTCCTCCCCAGTATCATCTAATTTTAACTCTAATTCTAAGAGTAAAACATAAGAAGGAAAATGGCTGCATCTCCATATGTTGTCAAAGCAAGAACATCCGATGTTAGCAGCGTTGACATCTATATTAGAATTGGGGCCTAGGTTTTGAAAAAAGCTTCAGACAGTAAAAGCAAACATATAGTACCGTGTTTCTCCGAAAATAAGACCTGGTCTTTTTTTTTCTTTTGCCTCCAAAAGAGGCATCGGGTCTTATTTTTGGGGGGTATCTTTTCCATGGTCTCACCTTGCGGCAGTGGCACTGACAGCCCTACCCAAATTCTGCAGTTCTGACCTTGTAGTGTAATTAACAGTAGATATTATTTTCTGCCATATGTGGCTTGCGCTTAAAGAGCCTTCTTAATTTAGCAGTTATCTTTGATAGTGTAAGTGCATCAGTTGTACAAAGAATCATGGAAAAATCTTTGTCGGCTTTCAAAATAATGTTCTAGATTTGGTCAAATGCTCAACTGAAGAAGTAGAAACTGAACAGAGAAGAAACAAAAAGAATTTTCACTCCCTACAAGTCGGGAGCTATTCCACATAATGGATTACATCTGATTTACAGTGTTTTATAATTTATGAATAAGAGCAATCAGAATTCAACCTTTTGTCAAGATCTCCCTTTTGGTTCAGTGTTTTATTCTAGAAATGAGATGAAATGAAATTAGTTTTTAAAATCTAAAAGTATAAGGAAAGTTTAATAGCTGAAAATATCTAAAGGTCAGTTTCGATTTTTCCCTGAGAGGACTTTGTGTGCTTTCTATATATATGCCAAGAATGTGCACTCAGATATCTTCTTCCTCTTCTTCACAACAGATGAGCATGTACAGGTAGTCCTCCACATATGACTATAGTTGAGCCTAAAATTTCCATTGCTAAGCAAGACAGTTTTTAAGTGAGTTTTGTCCCATTTTATGATCTTACTTGTCACAGTTAGGGGAATCCCTGCAGTTGTTAAATTAGCAACACAGTTGTTAACTGAATCTGGCGTCCCCATCGTCAGAAGAGAAATTGCAGCTGTCATAAATACATGCCAAGCGTCCAAATTTTGATTACTTGACCATGGATATGGTGTAATAGTTGTGAGTGTTAACAATGATTATAAGTCACTTTTTTCAGTGCTTTTTGTAACTTCAAATGGTCACTGAACCAATGGTTCTAAGTTGAGGCCTACATGTAAATCAAGTGTTAAGTGTATAAAAAGTGTATCTAATCCTTAACTTGAGGAATGTCAGAGGTCTTAAGTGTGTCAAGGTCATGGTTGTCTCTTTCCACCGATGGAGTGGAAGTTATATGTGCTCTGTGTTTGTGTGTGTCACTGCAAGGGATGAGCTTGGGAAACATATTCCATCCTCTATATCACGGGCGTCAAATTTGCCGTGTCACGTGACGTGTCGCGATGTATTGCGACTTTTTTTGCATTGCCAGAGCTGGGGTGGGCGTGACCTCTGCATGATGCAATTGGCCCACAGGCCAGCAGTTTAACACCCCTGCTCTATATCAACAATCCCCAACCTTTCTGGCTCTGCGGACTGGTAGTGGCGGCGGTGGTGGGGAGAGGGAATGGTTCCGCGCAAGCAGTGGGCGTGCGACCGTGCCTCTTGCGCAAATTGAGCTTCGCCCGCTACTTGTGCACCCCGGTTCTCAAAGGGCTACAGCCCGGAGGTTGGGTACCCCTGTTCTATATGTAGGTTGCTTGTGAGCAGTAGCAACATCCCTTAGCAGATTGACGTGGAAAGTGTTTCCGAGGCTGCTGGCTGCGTGTCTGTTTTGCAATTTTTAACATTTTTTTCTGCCCTCCCTTCAAGAGAATATTGTTGCCAAATCGTATAAAATGTATGACAACTATTCTGATAAAATGAGGATTTTGCAATTGTTCTGCTTATTGAAAGCTTAAAGGGGGGGGGGCAGTAAAGCACTTTGAAAATTGAATTACCTTTCAGAGGTGTGGGCATTTTGAAACAAATGGATGATTGATGTAAGTGGGTTTTTTTTTTCTTAGCTCTTGTTTCTCCTTCACAAACAAAAAAAAAGTTGGCATGGCAGAACAGCCAACTTGTTGAATGGAGGATGCTGATACAACAGGGTGAGGAAGTTGTGCCCATTTACGCACAGGAATCTATTTCCTGTAGTGCCATCCAGTTCAGCCAAAGGAGAGGGATCATAGAGTTTGTGGTATAACAGTACTGTGTCCATCTTCCGGTCAGAGAATATAGTGCTGTACCTCTAGGAGCAAACTTTAAATTAATTAATCTTTTGAGAGGACAGATAACTAAAATGAAATCACAGCATTTAAGGGTGTAGAGGCCCAGCCAAGATCAGCTTGGGTGTTCCTTTCCCTTTTTTTGTGATTTACGCAGGTTATGCTCTCAAGCTAAGCAGGTCCTATCAGCAAATGGGGCTGCTGCTTTTGCTCCTCATTAGCTAACAAACTGCAGCTTTTCTCGCTGTTGTTTCTGCTTTTTGAAAACCAATTATTGCAGTTCAGGGGTTATCAGCAAAATACTTCTTAGCGATTGTTAAATCATCAGGAAAGAAGCGATTCATCAATTAACATGTATAACACTCCTTGCCCCACCTCACCAACTGTGACATGATCAGAAATCCCTAAGATAACTAATCAGAAACATAATAGTTGTTTGATTTGCCAATTCATTTCCTCATCTGTCATCTGCCCCTTTACATAATCTGTTTTGTGGCATATCTGGCAACTGACTTGCCACAAAAAGGTGAAAAAAAAATTACGGGAAGTGGGGAGCAACTATCATTCCTTTGTCTGCTGTCATATCATATCAGAAGATTTAAAAGTTCCAGCTCATCAACTGGGATAAGAGAAAAAGTTGTGTTCCTTGTACATCCTAATTCAGTTGCCTGGTTTATCCATTTCCTTAAATAGCGTGATTTATATTACTGGCCGAGAATCAGATAAAACTGCATGAACGCATCAATAATTCAGTGTTTTAAAAATGTGTTAAACAAATTGGACGAAGGAATATAATTACATCTTGATGATGTGCCCTGTTGAAAATTGCTGTTTGAAAGTATTATGAAAGTTTTGACTCCATAGAGCAGTAGCTGCATTGACTAACTGGCACTTAGTTATCCAGAAGTTCCGTTCCAATATTTAAAAAGAATGCAGACCTGCATCCCTCTCTGTGATGCCGTCAGTAACTTTTCTAATAATAATAATAATAATAATAATAATAAGTTGGAAGGGACCTTGGAGGTCATCTAGTCCAACCCCCTGCTCAGGCAGGAAACCTTATACCATTTCTGACAAATGGCTGTCCAGTTTCTTGCAAATGACCATGATTTCAGAATACAGTTCGACATGAGTACAGTTGTACCAGTGAAGACATTTGTGTTGCAGATGCTTATATTGAAAATATGAATATCTATAGGAAAAGCACATTACTGGAGCAATGTTGGCCTGGCACGTGGAACCCTTGAATGTGAGGTATTCTGCCTTTGTAATACCTGAATCAGACCTAGATATCACGTGATTCATGACGGCTACACCTGTCCAAACAGGGCCTCAGAAATGGCCCCGTCCTTCTTTAAATCTGAAATACACGTACTTCTGGATTGCAGCCAGTCCACTGAAGTAGAGCTGCTCATTTCACAGCCAACTATAATTATAATAATAATACAGTGTTCTTCTTTCTTTTTAGTTCAGTCTTCATTTCTTGGCAGTGCTGTTCAGACAACTCCTTCATCGAACACACTGTGGAAGACAAATTCTTTAGGAATGGAAAGCATAAGCAGGCAAAGGTCTTCATCAGATCCACCAACTGTCCACCCCCCTGTTCCACCATTGCGTGTAACATCTACAAGTATGTTTGCTCTTTCCGCTGCTTTCTTGGTTTTTGCTGCATCTAATCATGGTTGGCCTTGACTGTCCATTCCACAACTCATTCTTACTCTTCTTTCTCTCTGGTGAACGTAGGTTGGCTATCTTAGTTTCTGAGTATTTGTAATTTCTTTCAAACAGGGCTGAGGATATGGTATTTCCAGGTAGCTTTGCAAAGAGTTGAGACTGTCCTCACATTTTAAAAGATTGTGTACAATATTATTCAGTATCTTGATTGTGCATTGGGATGGTCTTCTATTGATTGCTTCTGAAACTGTACTGGGGCTATGTATATTTCATGGAAAATATTATTACAAACGCGATAATCTTGACCAAGATGGGCAGCTATAGAAATTGAGCAAATAAATGTTTTATAAAGACAGTAAACACCCCTCCGGAAGGTTACTATATCAAACTAGCCATGAAATTAACACCCTGTAAGTGTCTTAAAGTAATCAGGTTTCTGCTAGTTTAGCTTTCAGTGTTTGATTTTCCAAAGGGACAGCCATCATAGTTCCTCGCAGTGAAACAAAAGAATTTTGAGTGAGTGAGTGAGTGAATACACTCATGATATTTAATGCACTGTCCACACTACCTTAATATAGCCAATTGCAGGTGTCTGCATGCATAAGTGAGTTTATTCAAATGAGACAACTTAACATTTCTAATGTGTCCAACAACTAAGACTGTACAATTAGCTTCTCACAAGTCAATTCCTTCCATTTATATGCAAAAAAATATTCTTATTTAATTGAACTGCTGGACTTAGTTCCAAAAAAGTGTCTTTAGAATTGTAGCCTGAGTCTTGAGCCTTAATTTTTGGTATAAAAAGAAGATGAATTATCTCTCGGTTTTTTAAATAAGGCAAAGCTTTTAAAGCAGTATGTTATTTGGGGGACTCGTTTCAAGCATTCCAGCATTCGTCATCAGAATAATAATTGTCCGTGCATTTTTATAGACCTCCTCTCTTCAGCACCTCCAGCTGCAAAGGCAGCCTGTGGGCTTGAAGCTTTGAACCAGCAGTCAAAACAACCGACTATACCACAGGCCAAACCTGCGCCGCCACCACTTCCTCCGCAGCCTCCAAGTCGAATATCTCAGAAAAAGCCTCTTTCTGGGTAATTTGTGAGATACACATGGCTGAATGTTAAGCTGTACTAATTATTTGTAGTTTTTGCTGAATGGCTCTCTTGGAGGTTTTGTTCTGTTGATTTAATGCGTCCTTAAGTGAGGAACAAGAGAGAGCAGAAAAGAGAGATTGGCAGGATAGGCTTCAAAACATGGAGGGTGGGGGTGGGTAAGCTTTAATAAGAAAATTGTGGAAAAACAGTCTAAACATCACAGTGCGATGAGAACAAAAATCAGGCTTAAACTGAAGTCATGCTAGACTAGAGAATATGCGTGGTATAACATTTATTTTTATGTAAATATCTGTTATCTAGGTCTTGTGAGGTTCACCGGAGACAAATCAGAAGCATTGTTAGAAATACTGTAAAAAAAGGGATTAGGCTGACCAGAATTGTCTCCGTTACCTATGGTTTCTATTACTTGTTCAGTTAAACAGAGAAGGGTAGTTCGGAAAACAAAATTGCATCTCTCCATGTGACATGCTTTTTCCAAAACTTCCACTTCATAGCTTGCTGTGCATAAGGGGGAAAATTAAGTTGAAGGAAGGAGTAAAAAGACAGTGAAAACTAGTACAGAAGCCTTCTTTAGCCTAAGGCTTCTCCAGGTGTAGCAAGTTGAATTTCTAGAATTCTATAGGTAAAATGACCATTTATGAACATTCTGGCTGTTATTGTCATTATAATTGGTCAGATACTTATTTTGAGGAGATATTCAAGATGTGGTTGAACATTGGTCAATATATTTAAAAGTTCAGTACAGAATAGTATGCTGAATATTGTTTCAGAAAATAAATGGTATCACAGTGACAGGCTAAATGGGAAGCAATGATGGAGAATAACCTTTGCTTCCCTTCTAAATAGGACTGACAAGTCATCCAACTTAACTAACAAGAGTAAGGGCCCTGGATCTCTGCAGTCTTGTGGTAATTACTTTTTAAATTTTATCTTGTTAATTTCCACTTCTTTAGAACCAACCAATATGTTTATTTCCTATGTAACAAAAGGTACATGAACTGACTTCACAGTGTGGGTTTTGTGCTGTGCTTTATGCACAGAAGGGTTTACTATAACAACCAAACAACAATTTTCCATCAATCCAACTACATTTTTCAAGGCAGTGACATCGCCCCAGCATTTTCTGGGTAGTTATGAAAAATGAATTGCAGAGAAGATGAATATAAAGATTTTGCTAACAAGAGATTTGAGCAAGACATAGGTGTCATTCCCTATCTATATTTTTTTAATTATCATTAGTACATGCTGAATTGCATCCTTGATCCCAGTGATATCGTTTTGAAGCTTTTGATGTGAGACAGGATGACTATTTTTGCAGTGCTACAAATCTGGCTTGGTTAACAAGTGTAATGACATGAGAAATTATCTAAGAATAGAACGATGTCTTGTTATTTTAAAGTTGACTTTAATTTTTTTGTTTGTTTAATGACAGTTGAGACTTCCTCTGCATCTGAGACTGCTGGATCTCAAATTGCCCCTTCTACCAACGTATCAGTGCCAATCCAGCCTCCGGCACCAATGCCAAGAAAGTCCCAAATAGTAAGTAGCAAAGCATGTCATTCCCTTAAAAGGTTGCAGTTGGCAGCTCTCTATGATGAAACTTTAAGGACATTGTACAGAATCTTAATTTCTTCAGAATCCATTTGGCCCTCTTTGTTGAATTCAGATACATTCAGTTTGACCAAGAAACAAACAAGAAGGTAATGTTGGCTTTTTTATGTATCCCTCACTTTGGGAGAACTTTTGCTTGAAATCACATGGAGGATGGAGACCATTCCAAGAAAAATGTTTGTATGTTGCAATTATAGCTGTACTTTGAACAAGCCGTGAAAATCTATGCCAAGTGGCACCTTTGAGCTGGGAGTTAATTATCAATAATAAATTATAGCTATAACTTTTAATAACATAGCTGTATTTTATACCTATTCAATTGTATCTGCAAGAGACAAAATATTGCATGGGATAACAAAGATGATTAGAGGTCTGGAGGTTAAAACATATAAGGAACGGTTGCTGGAATTGGGTCTGTCTAGTTTAACGAAGAGAAGGACGGGGGGGGGCATGATAGCAGTGTTCCAATATCTCAAGGGCTGCCACAAAGAAGAGGGAGTCAAGCTATTCTCCAAAGCGCCTGGACAAGAAGCAACGGATGGAAACTAATCAAGGAGAGAAACAACCTCGAACTAAGGAGAAACTTCCTGACAGTGAGAACAATTAACCAGTGGAACAACCTGCTCCAGAAGTGGTGAATGTTCCAACACTGGAAGTTTTTAAGAAGAGACTGGACAGCCATTTATCCAAAATGGTATAAGGTTTCCTGCCTGAGCAAGGGATTGGATGAGATGACCTCCAAAGTCCCTTCCAACATTAGTATTGTTGTTGTTGTTGTTATCAACACCATTATTATCTCCCTGCCTATCCAACGAGATCCACCAGGATGGGCTTGCTCGAGGTCCTTTTTATAAAATTGCATCATTTGCCAGGACCAAAAGAATGAGTCTTCTCTATTGTAACCTCCGCTCTTTCGACCTACATATCCCTAGAGATTCGATCCCATTCATCTTCAGTTAAGGATTTGAAGATGTAACTTTTCTCCTTGGACAGCTGGGCCAGCCTACTAAATAGGTCCGTTTGTAAGGGTTAGAACATTGAATAATTGTGGGCTGCCCTTGGTTATGTCATGCTCTCTTTTGTGTTTTTTTTATCTTGCTGGTTTATATTTTTGAGGTATTTTATAGAGTTGCCAAAACGGGTAGTCCTCGACTTACAACCATTCATTTAGTGACCCTTTGAAGTTACACTGAAAAAAAGTGGCTTAAATCCATTGTTCACACGACTGTTGCAGCATCCTCCATGGTCACATGATCAAAATTTGGACTCTTAGCCGCTGGCATGTATTTATGACGGTTGCAGTGTCCCTGGGTCACATGATCACCTTCTGCAACCTGACAAGCAAAGTCAATGGGGAAGCCAGATTCACTTAACAATCGTGTTACTAACTTAACAACCGCAGTGATTCACTTAACAGTGGTGAGAAAAAAGGTCATAAGAACGGACAAAACTCACTTAACAACTGTCTTGCTTAGCAACAGAAATGTTGGGCTCAATTGTGATGGTAAGTCGAGCACCGGGTGTCATGTCAATTAATGGATGCCTGTTCAGAAAAGCAAACAAAATAGCTAACTCACTAACACTCAGTGAAATGTCCAGAATTTGAATTTGAATCAGAAGAAAATCCTTTTGCCTGTTTCAGAAGGAACTATATAAGCTTCACCTACAAAGAGTGATGTCTTCCTTCTCAGAAATAGAAGTGTTGACTGTTGAGTTTGACCACTGTTTCGATTTTGAAATGATTGTGGTGATGGTGTAATGCTATCTGAGAACTGCAGTGATCCAAAGTGACCTTCACTAGTGGGGAAAATTGTACTAGAAGGCAAACGTACTTAAGAATACAAGTAGGGAAAAATAATACATTAAATGTCAGGCCTCAGCGATAGTCCCAGGTTTACTCAGCTCCCCAGATAAACCTTTAAAAAATTGACCTGAAACTCTGGAGAACTGTTGCTAGCCAATATAGATAACATTCAATTTACACAGACAAATATCCTGTTTTGGTTTAAGGCTTTTTCCTGTGGTCTGCTACTTCTGTCTATTTGAGAAGAGACACTGTAGCCCAGAGGTGTCAAACTGCCGGCCCGCGGGCCGGATGCGTCATCCGGAAGCCGCGCCTACTCCATTGCCAGCAATAGCAAAACCAGCCGGAGACGTTGCGTGACGTCATGTGACATTGCGAATTTGACATATCTGCTGTAGCCTATTTCTTCCCTATATTTTCAACACCAGGTCCCTTTTATCTCTCTTTCTCTCTGTGTGTTTATTACAGTCAAAAACCAAGCCCAAAAGGGTAAAAGCAATCTATAACTGTGTAGCAGATAATCCCGATGAGCTCACATTTTCAGAAGGCGACATCATCATAGTTGATGGGGAGGAAGATCAGGAGTGGTGGGTAAGTATTTTTGTTTTCAGCTGAAGTCGATAAGTGACTTAAACTCTGTAGTTTGCTGTCTGCAGTTATAAAAAATAAAGCACCAATCAACAGAATTGGCTTCCCGGATGAAGCCGTTCTGTTTCCAGAAGTATCTACTAAATGAAATACGTAAACTTTAACGCTGTCTCCTTTGAACTGGAGACTTTTTTTTTTTATTCCTTCCTTTTGCACAGAATTCATATCTGGATAAATGAGGAGGGAGGAGTGCCCTTTTGTCCTCCCCAGCCAGCCCAATCCTGCTGTCCCCAGAATTCAGTGAAATTATCACTCAGGAACATTTATTTCTAGGTGCCTTCTAGTGGCAGCTCCTAAAGGCTCTTCTTGCTCTCTTGGTGGAACATGGAAAGGACATTCCCGGTTAGCCATTCTACATTAGGTTCACTTTGCTGCTGCAGGACTGTTTCCTAAAGAGTTGGGGAGAGGGTTGCAGAGTAGGGAGCCCCTCCCCCTCATCCTCTGTCATTTACTTCTCCTTCCTGCTCAGGCAAGAAAATTGGATCTTTGCCAGGGGAACCAGTCTGCACATAGGCTAGCTCATGGGTAGGCAACTTTGGCTCTTTTATGACTCGTGGACTTCAACTCCCAGAATTCCTGAGCCAGTATGGCTCAGCTTGGAAACCTCTCTTTCCCCTCAGCATGGCTGCCTCAGGAATTCTGGGAGTTGAAGTCCACGAGTCATAAAAGAGCCAAGGTAGCCTATTCCTGGGTTAGCTGAATGAGCAGCCAAATGGTGAGGTTGACACAGTACGCAAGGCTAGGCTAAAATGGAGTTGCGTCCCTTGTAGTTCAGCGTGTGGGAGTGAACCCAGCCATTGTCATGGCACGTCCTGTGAACCAGCCATCACATGTTGATCTGGTGCATAAGTTATATGTACGTAGTAATCTTATTTTGTTAATCTGCCAATGATAACGGCATGCTCCAAGCAGGGAAGAGAGTTGAAGCTGTGCATAGCTTGTTTTCACCTAATTTATGACCAAAATATTGTAGAAAGGTTAGTTCCCTCCCTTCCTCCCAAAATTTACCTATATGATTTTACTGAGAATATAGTGAAGATCGGAGATTATCTTGAAACTCCTTTGGGGAAATTATTTTAATTCATGATCAGTTTCCTTTTAGGTCAATATGATATGTCTTGTAGCATTGAAGGGAAATTTCATTGGCTGTACTCGCCCAATATAATTAACCCACTCTACCATGTAGTAAAATTCCCCCATCAGTACTTGTGATCATACGTAATTAACAATTTTGGAGACAGAGTCCAAAAACAGCAAAAAAAAATGTTTAGGTGAATATTTATTTTACCAGATCAATGTACTTTCAATAATTTTATATGGCTAAAAGGAACTGAGAAAATTTTAAACTTGTTATATTAGTTGTCCTTATATTGAATTCATAATTACTCTAAACTTTTTTCTCTTTTTCAGATTGGGCATATTGATGGAGATCCTAATCGAAAAGGTGCTTTTCCTGTATCATTTGTGCACTTTATTGTTGATTAAACAGCTCCTTGCAAGTGGAGAGAGTTTCCCTTTCTATATTTCATTGGGACTCCCTGTCATCATCAAATGCCTCACTGGAATACTTCAAAGTAATATAGTTGAATCTTCATTATTGCAGTTCTTAAAATTATTTTCCATAGGACTTTTATAACAGAGCCACTCAAAAATGTTTGTGATGATTGCTGAAAGCTGCAAAAAAAAAAAAAAAAAAAAAAAAGAACCCAAATCCATGACAATGTGAAAGGCGTATTAAGAAAGCTAGAAGATTAATCTCTTGACTGCACTAATATGTTACATTTTAGTGCCAATGTCAGGCCTACAATAAGTATTTAACTTTTGTGGTGAGTATGGCTTTTGAGATCAGTCTCGGATTGTTAAGTAAGTTGACAATTGAAATTTCATTTTAAAGAATGAAAGTTTCTTTTGGTTTTATTTAGTACATTAAAACACTTTTAAGAAAAATAAGAACATCCGCTCAGTTGTGACATGGTGGAGTTTCTTGTTATCCATGTCCGTAGCCATCCACAATGTTCATTAATCGGAGAAGTAGGATGGGGGTGGAGAAGTCTTTTGCCAAAGACTTCTAAATAGCAATCTCAATCATATATTTTTTTAAAATGCATGGATGGAAAGGACTGAAAGTGATAGAAATCCAGCCCTATTTAATGTCCTAGTAATAATCTAATCACATTTGAGGAAACCTCTGTAAGTACATTCACACAGCATGTGTTTTGTTACAGAAAAACAAACCCAGAAACCCCAAATAAGATACCTAAGGCTTAGGTGTTGCAAGGAAATCCATGTCTCTGAACAGTTGACCCTTCTGTTGAAAAAAGATTATGGACACACAGGAACAAAACATCCCTACACCTAATCGGTGATGAATATGTGCTTGAAAATGACTCTGCATTAGGCAGCAGCATTGACAGGCTTAAAACATTTGAGTCCAATGAAAAGTCAAAACCTGTCTTATAGCAACATTTAAAAAAATTGGGATCTAATAACCTAGTCCAGTTTTCCCATTGTTTGAATAGCTTACGTTTCCTTATGATGGTTTGTACTGGCACAAATGGAGGTCTGGGTACCTTTATTTGGTAAATAGTGTTTAAGGTTTTATACCTTTGTAATACAAAGGAAGAAATTAGGAATATTTATCAGTTTATGAGGAAAAGAAAGAAGGTATTATTCTCCCTGCCAATTTCCCCTTGTGCATGAAGTCAGGAGAAAAGCTTTAAGATAAAGCAGTCTGAGGAAAAAAATTGCACGTGGCCCTCGTATCTGTGGAAAACTGCTTCCTTGGAGCAGCAAACATAAGTAATATGCATAGATATTCGTGAAGATGCTTGGTTAGGAATGTCCTCAGTTGCATTAAAGAAATATTTTAGTAATTTGATGTGTAGATATTTTAAAACCTGAAATCTGATTACCTCGTTTTATAAGTATGAGGTCATAGTTTTCTATACTAAATATGCAGTTAATATTTTATGCCATACACTAATTTACCCTCGAGGTAAACGGGGGGGGGGGGGGAGAAACCAGGAAGATACTGCTGATAAATTTAAATGGGAAAGTTTATGAAAAATATTACTTACAGTCCTTTTCTTTGAAAACAAGTTGTAAAGCACATAGTGGTATGTTCATGCTGAGATTGCTATGGTTAACAGTGTCATAGTCACTGCGCTAAGTATACACCGCTGTCTGGCAAGCAGTTCAGTCTGTTTGTGGACTGGCATTGTGTACTGAAATATATTCTAGAACATGGTAGTTAACACTGTTAATAATTGTGAATAGATTTCATAATTCAAAATGAATAGACTCTTACAGAACATAGCTATGTCCTTTTAATGTTTGTATATTGTGATATTGTAACAGTTTTTATTTTGCATATGCTACCCAAAATGTGCACTGGTAGCATAGAATTAGAATATCAATGTCCAGGTCACATTGGCTTTGATCACAAGTTTTGTGACGATTGTATCTCTAGATTTATCAAGAGAACTTTGAATTTCTGACACAGAAATTATGTATATATTGGCTAGTGGAAGTGGAAACATGGGGGAAGGACCCTTTGGTATATTTATATTGGATGGGGGGAAATGCTGGATCTCAATATCTTTGTTGCCTTGCTTGAAGTGGTACATTTGAGGCAATTTGTCAGATGTATTGATGCAAATCAGTTGGCTGATATTAAGAACAATATGAGTGGTTGCAGTGTGATGGAGGAGCAAACTGGAATATTTTCAAGCTAGTTTTGTTGTATGTTTTAAAGCTAAGTCTGCATATTCAAAGTTCCCATTGAATATATATGTATATTAGGAGAATAGTTGGCCACTACACATTTATACAGATGCTGGTTAATTCAGTTGGGTTTTGACCCTTTATGTTTATATGCCTGGCAAATGCAAGGAAATAATTTCACACATTATTTTGCACATTACTCACAGTGTTTAACACAGAATCTTTCAGCAACTATGTGCAAAGTAACCTTTTGAAGCTTCTTTAGCATCAGTTTTTACACTGCATAGGATCCAATGAACTGTATTACATACATACTCCAAGATGCTTGGAATAAAATAGTTTTCCTATGCTAAAACTTATTTTGAAACCAAGGATACCATCAAATATTATAGAATCTATAATACATAGAGCTGTCAGGCAAACAAAAAATAAAAGTCATGAATTTGCCTAAATGTATGGTTAATCTGAAGAAGATGGCTGGAGCTCTATTTGGAAGTTTCAGATATCCTGAAAAATCTTGATTACGGCTACTAGACAATCTTAAATAAGAGTATTTTCTCACACTACATTAGTATGACAGAGTAGGCTTGTAAGAAACATTTCAAAATAGAGTTTCTGTGACATGTAACATTAATTCATAACTAGTCAGGTAATCTGCACTCTGTGAGGTCATTCAGACTTCATGACTGACAATAGAGCTGGCCATATTCAACACTGTTACCAAGCACATACAACTACTGTGTTAACCATTTTTAAAGGAGCATAAGACACTTAAAATGCAGTTCAGAATGCTACTTGAGATGTATAATTTTTAATGTGATGGTTTTGATTGTTTAGTTGCAGAGCAACTGTATACATTGTATAACCTAAGACCATTTCTTATTTTTAGTGTCTAGAGGCAGTGATTTATAATTGGAGCATGATTAATTTTACTTCTGTTCAGTCATTAGACTGAAAAATAAACTACTTTAAGCCTCATATTGACTCGTCGTGTTTGTGTGAAAAATATCCTTAACAATTGAGAGTTCTGGAATGGAAGAGTGATACTCCAAATCTTGACAGTTTATAAATCTAATGACAAATCTACCCTTCCTAACTCTTGATCTTACATGATATGCTTCTGTTTTCTCAACAGTCAAATCTACTTTAGGTATTTCTAAGGCCTCATTGAGGTCTGTGGCAGTGCTGTATAATTTTTTGTCCGTACCACTCACTGATGGGAAGGAAGCGGGAGAGTCCCATGGCTTCTTGATCCCTTTCAGGAAAATGGCGGGGCAAGGTATATGGTGCTGCGTTGTCACCTTTTCTACGAATATGGGTCTGGATGTGGTGGCCGGTGTCGCTTGCGGCAGAGAAAACTGATCCGTCCCCATGTCCGCAATGGCTGTGGCCTTGCGTAGTATCGTGAGGACGCGGTTGTGATTAAATAATCCCCCTGAGGGGGGCTCAGGGGGAAGCTCCTCATCCTCTGACATAGAGATCCCAGGTTGATCCTCCTCTTGTGGTGAAGAATAACCACTCATGGAGGACTGGGCCGGGGAGGCGGGTTCCTGAATGCCTGAGGACTCTGAGGGGATTTCCGAGTGTGGCATGGCTGAGGTGGAGGGCCCCTGGTCGTGGTGGGCGGAGCGCTGTGCTAGGGCTCGATCCACCACTTTGGTTAATAGGGCCTCTAGCCGTCCATCTGCCCAGATGTCCCCTATGTCATTACCTTTGGGTGTGGTGACCGCAGGTGGAGAGGTGGACTCAGTGGTTGTGCCTGCCGCCGTGGTTGTTTGTTGGGCTGATGTGGATGGCGAATCCAGTGGTTGCGGTGTTCCTGGAATGGACCACACGCTCTGGGTTGATGTGGATGGACCCAATGGTAATTCCATCTCGGTGGCCGCCATTTGAACCAATTCTAATTGGGCCTGCCTCTGCGCTCTGGAGAACTCCTTCTCCAGGGCCTGGTGCCTACGGCTGGCTTGCTTTTCCGCCAACTTGGAGGGCCTCTTGAGCGAGTGTTTTGTCTTCGCTTTGCACTTGCCTGCCGCCTTCTGGTCAGAAGGTGTGTTGCAGCCGTAATTGGGAGATGGAGGGGTCGTGCTCATGGATTGAGGCAACGAGGGTCCCTCCATTCCGCTTGAGCAGTCCCAGAAAAACTGAGAAGACGCTCAGGCAGGCAAGTATTGGCGGGAGCAAAATTGGAACAAGTACCAGGACTGTTCCCCTGATCACCCGACCACAACAAAAATATTCTCTCTGGGCTAAGGTCACGGTAGCTGAGGGAGGTACCGAAGGCACATTTGGAACCACTCTTTGGGTTCCGCCCGGAGGCCTTAGGTGACCAGGCAACGTGCACCAGTAGAAAAAAGAAAAGGGAGGCAAAAAATATCAGTGGCGACCTCAAAAGGGTCTGTAGGCCTGACTTAATACACAACAAGGTATCAAATGGCGGTCACCTAGAGCGGAATTTATTCTTATTAATATTATTACTATTATACTAATAATAGGAACAACAATAATAATAATAAAATAATAACAACAACGGTGATGATGATAATATTGTGTGTTCTGCCTTTAAGCCTGTTGGCCTTGCAGTCGCTTAATTTTTAGCTTTAATTAATTTTTTATTTTATTTTTTTAAATTATTTATTTATTTTTATTATTATTATATTTTGTCCTATTATTATATGTGTGTATCAGGGGTAGAGCGCTGGCTGTGCGCTCCTATTCCGCCTCTATCAGTGCTTCCAGATATGATGTGGAGCTTCCTTAAGCTTGGTTTGCCTTCCTCTGGCAAGAGATGGCGGCCGCGGCTCGTTTCTCCCTGAAAACGGGCTTTGCGGATCCCAGGAGGGTTCTCTAGCCCCCGTTTCTTAGTTGGGGCTTACTCCCTTCCTGTGCTTCGGCTTTTTAAAAAGGAGGGTGGCCGCGGCTCGTTTCCCTCTGAAAATAAGCTCCGCGGCCTCCCAGAAGCTGCTTGTGCCCGGGGATTTAAATTTGGCGCGCTGGTGACGTTTTAAGGGAATCCCAGTCAGGGATTGCCTTTGTTGCCTGAAAGCGGCAACTAAAATGGCGCCCGCGGTTGCCCTGGGCTGCTAGGGAATCTCCGATGATCCGAATTCAAGTTTGAATCCGGACCTGGAGATTGTTATTTTTTCCCCCAATTTGAGGAAAAAATCCCTTGGAAGGTTGGGGAGAAAAGCTCAGCAAGTGGTCTCTGCTGATGCCTTTTTCCCCCCTTTTCCACCTCCAAAGCCCTGGGGC